ATTACATGGAGTCTAAACATCTGATTATTTGCATTAGTATCATATAATTGTGATAAAATAATGCATAAAATACTAGTGTTAGTCCGATGATCGAATTTCAACCTTAACCACATTTTTTCTCAACAACACCAAGTACTTAGTTGTCGGTGACTGTAAATGGCACGGAATAGATAATTCCGTGATGAATACTATAGGTGACTGTGAATACTATAAAGTATTCAAAACTGCGGAATTAATAATTTGAAAATAAAATATCCGCGTTATGCCGTAAAAGTAGTTTGAATTGTATAAAATATCAGTAAACACGTGGATCCGCAGACAGTCAACAAGCAACATTGTTTCATGGACGAGTCGGGCGCTTTTAAACCGCTTCTTTACGTAACGTAACAAATGATATACTGTATGCATGTACGTATGTATGTATACATTTTGAAACAGTTTATAATTCACATCCACGAATACATTTATAACATAAATAATTGCGGCAATAAAAGTGATGTATTTCATGATCCGCAACCGAACGATCTCATGATCGATAAATTTATTTATGTATTCATAGGTTTTCGTTGAGATTGACGTTGGGCCAATAGTTTCGTGGTAGGGCTCACAGCTGTCAGTCACTGGATTGGCGGCTGTCTTTTCTTAACATCCCAACTGATTTTAAGCGGAATCTGTCACTTGAACCTTGAGGTCAAGTAATGTCGACCGGCACATATCATTATCATGCAACCGAGTCTTTCTTGTACGATTCCCTTAAAATTAGACTTGCTGAATTACTTGCACAGGATTAACAAGCAATAATTAAAACGCTTATCCGAACTTACGGAGATCACAATGCTCCAACACCAGGACCAAATCTCGATTATATGTCATTGTTAATAACATAGGCGAGGGGTCTCGTTCCAATCCAACAGCTTTTCCACCAGAGCGAGCTAATAAAAGTTTAAATTACCGTCAATGGCCGTAAAGAGAAGCTAACGGTACAAGTCGTTGCAATAATTTGCACAGTTTTAATGAATAGAAAACAAGACGTTTATACCCGGAGTTATTAATGCACATTTGCATCAATCCTATAAGTGCAACGAAGCGTAAGTGTCTTCAGTCAATTCGTTGTTTACTGCTGCAGATACATATCGAATGAAGACCTTTGCTGCTGGACGTATCATAAGCCCGCGCAGGTAGATATCACCATCCTGCCCGATACTGTCTCAGGTCTCAGTAAACTTACAACGGCTGCCCCACCCTTCAAATCGAAACGCATTACTGCTTCACGGCAGAAATATGCGGGGTGGTGGTACCTACCCGTACGGACTCACAAGAGCTCCTACCACAATCACTCCGTAGAGGGGCATAAAATACCTAAAACATACATCATGAGTGATTTTTAAGTTGTTTTACATTACCCACCCTCCAAACGGGAGCAAGTGACTGCTCCATAGCTGAAGTGGGCGAGATGTTGGTACCTACGTATCTACGGTAGTTCGTGATTCACGATACGCTGAATAATAAACGCCACTATCTCCAAGTTCTTAGAGAAGTTAACGAGGCTAACAGTCACGCTCATCTGTAATTAAACATTGCAACGATTTCTACAAACGATTCTCCAGCAGCTTATTTCCGGTAGACTTAACACCGGAGTCCACTACACGGCATCGCACGCGCCGCCGGTATCACTGGTGTAGCTTACAAGCAGGAACCAGATGATGTGCTATAATAATGTCTAACCATGCCATTTGAAGGTAATGGTAAAAACAATTGGATTATAAGCAAGCCCTTCAAAGCATTCAAAGTAATTAACAATTATAAAAAATTGTATAAGCTACCGGTTTTATGTACATTGCGACAGTGCAAACGGGTTTTGCGGGCTTGTATAGCTGGATTCGATTCCCGGTCATCTAGTTAGGAACATACGATAGACGCGAAAAATGAAAGGCTATAGTAAATCTCAACGTAAACCACAGCTTAAACAATTTTATTGTTATGGCCACACCAAAGAATTTATAAGCCCGGTATATTACACAAATCGAGCTTATGATCCATCTATAACATATAGGAAGTAATTACCAGCGAGAAGGGATCTCTTTTCCGTGTACCGACGAATTTTGTCGTTCGAACCAACCAACTAACATCTTACCTAATTCTGCCGCGAAGCTGTTGTTTACTCTAATTTAGAGGAAAAAAACCTCGGCTTTATGTCTCAAGATAGGCAGATATTCACATTCTATCATATATGTATGTACTCTATCCACTCCATTTACTCATCAATATAAGATGGGCCATGAATTCCATCTGTCTAGAGCAATAAAACCAGAGTGGGGCAATTTTTCAGAGGTTAGAAGTGTTTTTTACAACACAAGACCTGATAATGCTAGCCAAACGATAGTAAAATTATAAAATAATTAAATGTGTGGCTTAAATAACATAACTGTCATAAGCAATAAAGATACAGCTTAAAGTTTCTCTTTAAAAGCATTTGTTGGTCTTTGTCGGTGGAACTTTCACAGGACTTTTATTACGGCTGTAATTTATGAAAATGACATTTAATTAGCTGATGCTGGTAGGCGGACTGGATCCTGGTACGGATGTATAGAAATGGCCATCCATTATGTTACACTTTCTGGTTTAGAGACTTCACGTTAAATGGGTCCAATCAAAGAATGTTTTCTTCACGTGCCCCCTTTGTCGTTGATGGTTTTATTGCGGACACAGGAACTTCTGGTCCTGGTAATGTTAAGTGGATCCATAGACGCCACAGCATGAACGCACCAGAGTTTCAATTCTCCGTTGGAGTTCGTAGTTAGACCTGTTTGGTTACTTATAGATATTCGGCGTTAGGAAGTTATCAAATGTATATTTAGAAATGTTTTTGTGTGTATATAGGTTCCGGAACTTATAACACCGTATAAAAGTCATCGCTTGGTGGAATGCGGTTAAACTTCAACGATCTTTTCGCGGGCCCAGTGCAAAACATAAACGCAAACAGCTTTGACGTTCCCGGAATCCCACCGGACCGACACCGGTATATGATATACAGTAGTAAAGTAATTATTCTGCTACCACACTACCATAACCTACCGCGTAACCCAAATAGCTCCGGGAAATAGCACAGTTTACCTACACTATTAGCGCGACCGCCGATAGAAGATCAGTGCAACGGATTTTTGGCAGGTCACCTCCCGGCGACGTATAAATAGACTTATATAATAGACTTATCTACAAAGATAGCAGACGTGTTTTGTATCGCTTAATGCGTTTCTAAAGATAAATTTAGTGTCATACTGTCAATTATGAACTCCCCTTCTCTCTAATTCCCCAATTCTCTGTCATATTCTGATCCTTGGGTTCAAAATTACACCACATTCGCAAGATCAACGCACATGATATGACTCCATCCCTATCTGTCTGACCATCTATCTATCTGAATAAACAAGTTGGTCATCCCAGCAACCATGAGCTGCTGCTATTAAGTCTGACTTATTAAGTCGATCTTCCGTAGTAGCGACACAATATTTGCACATTTCCTCCTAATTCTTAACGGTACCACATATTGTAAGAGGGGGACGTTCTTGGCTCGCAAGAGAATGGGCAATAGAAGTATACATCGAAATTCTATGAACGATTAGCAAATAGTTAGACTGTGAACTCTGTCAAAAAACCCTGCCAAGGTTATAATGGTTGGAAACAAAGACGCAATAGTACACGTCTAATATAATCGCGCATGTGTGAAAGCTCGTATTAATGCTGTTCCTGGTTGGAACGTTGCCCGAGGTTCAAATATTTACGTTTTGCAACGAATTATTAGATATTTCACGTTGTCTGAGTTCAGATAACTAACTATGCTGACTTTCAACAGAACTGGTACATATCTATATACCACCAGGTCGAGTTAGTAGAACAGATCTTTTGAGTTCCGTGGGAGGTGCAGCGCCATACGGGGTATTTCGGATAAATTGCCTTTGCATGTTTATGTCATCGCTCATATCTTATATTGAACCCAGATTTTTAAATGAACAGGATGTGAGAATAATAAAGCAACAAAGAGAGATTCATTAAAATTCTGTAATTATAAAGAAACAACTCGTGAGATGACAATAGAACGATCTATACGTATAATTTTGTCGAACAATAACAATAGAGCTAGGATACGATTTTTCAAACAGTTATATATTATTATGCCTAATAACTTCCGTGCCAAAGAATCATCGAGTGATTTGTTTGTAGATTTGCATATTAAAATCCGTACAGATCAGTTCTATCTATTTTTACCATCCGAAAGCAACTACGCAGAACAACTATAGTGAGTGACGACATATTATGTGTTTGGAAATCTTTTAATAGGGCCGAGAGCTCATCGCGAATACAAAAAGCCCTAAAATTTAAAGTCAGTTCACTCATCTAGGAAAATAAGCCAAACTTGCTGACCAAGCATAAATCAACATCATCGGGTCATCGAACTTGTCGACTCATTCAAAAAGCCAACGAAAGCGACAGTTCTCTTACATTCATTGACGTGTTATCGTGATTGATCTAACAATTTATACCTTGAGAAACACAACATCCTATGTACTGCGCGTCAGTAAATATCGTACTAGTCTTTAATCTCTAAAGGTTGTGGTTGAATTTTGTTCGGCTTGTGTATACATTACGTGCGTTTCGGTTGCCCCACGCTGCTATTTTTGAAGGAATCTTATTACTGCGTTCTAAATTTAGGTGAATTTATAATTAGAGTGGGTGTGGTTGAGGTAGTCTTGGCCAAACATAGAATCGAATTACCTTTACTCGATATAATATCCCGTTGGAATCTTTAGAACTTTGCGAGTCCGCACGGCTAGGTAACACGGTATTTACGTTGTAGATGTCTGTTGGGTTCTGATGTTGTAGGTTGTAGGTTACTACTTCACACCAGGTGGGCCGTGAGCTCGTTCACCGATCTAAGCAATAAAAAATAAAAATAGCAAAAAATACATTTAGACTCATCTAAAATTCATTGTTGTCCACAGGAGACAGTCCGCAACAGTGGTGGCAAGGTAACCAGCACTCGCACAGTCGAAGAGTTCGACGTAGATCAGTGCTGGGACGAACGCGTGCTCAGGAAACTCGTGAGTACTCGTTTTATTTTTGACTTTAGACATTACCTTTTATCCATATATATACAAATTAATTGCTGTTCGTTAGTCTCGCTAAAGCTCGAGAACGGCTAGACTGATTTGGTTAATTTTGGTCTTGAAGTATTTGTGGAAGTCTAGACAAGGCTCAAAAGGTAGATAAATATGAAAATGCTCAGAATTAAATAAAAATAACAATTTTGTTTTCCCTTTGATGTGTCCCCCGTCGAACGGGTTCCTTTTGTTTGTTTTAAGTTTATTTCATACAAAAGTTTAGGTCTTTTATTTATCGATTGAGGCACTACGAAGTCTGCCGGGTCAGCTAGTTTTGAATAAAAAATTAAATGGTTCAGCTTGAAACATGTCAAATCAGTTTCTGAACACGCAATGTTGATGAACGCAGCGGTGGCTGTGATACACAAATCGTACCCTAAATGCCACAATAAAGCGATAATAGGGTCCACGGGACCGCCTCAAACAACAGCACTCCATGGCGCACACATTGGATAAGTAACGTCTCTTCATACCCAACAGATTCCATACGTTGCATGCGACAAATCACTCTGTTTACGGATTGCATGTGTATTACCACTTACGTTTAACTCTCACTTTCGAGTGGTGACCGTCGTCTGGTGGAATAGTAAAACGGTAAATTTATGTGTCATCAGTGTAGGGGTGTACGTATGCATATACATAATTTTTTGATAGTTAGATTTTGATAGCGGGCGCAATAAGCATATTATAATAGCATAGGTTTGTTGATCGGCTTACCTTGTATGCACTAGGTTATAAAATATGAGCTAAAATATGAATAAGTTTAAATTATTTAATCCAAATTGATACCGGCTGAAAGCGGGACTATAGTTAATTTGCTTGAGGTGGTTCCGTCGTCTTTGTTGAACTCTGTTACGTTCCCTAAGCGCTATAACAAGTCAATCTTCAAACGAGATTTCAAAAGAGTCATTTTCGGTGTGCAACTATTTGGTGACACCTCTGGCATTACTAATATCCATGAGCGATGGTAACGACTTATAACCACATGCGCCGTAAAATATTTTCAACCGTAAAAAAATTGACACTAAACGCGAATAATTTTCTTTTGGCACTAAATTTTGTCCACTCTTTCAACCCTAAATAGCTGAGCCGTGTAGAATGCCTAGTCATTGCTCACGCTATGATTTATAGACATTCAATTTTCTAAAAAAAGCACTTGTGAAATCATAAGGCTAGGAGTACAACAGACCCGTGACATGGGCACGTGGCTCTATAATCACGGCGGTGTCATGTAACTTTACAAACTGATCCTCCGGCCGGTTTCAATATTTCTAGATAATTAAGTTCTTAACACGGAACTTGGTCCGCGTTGAAAGCAAAATAAAAAGCGTGAACAACTCGCCGAAAGTAACCTTATCGAACGCCACATAATGCCCATTTCAGCGTAATTACTGGTATAGAGTAGTTATTCCAATGCGGCGCCATTACGACGAAATGCCTCCGATGCTTCCAATAATTTTGGTTTTGTTTTCATATAAGATGTATTAATTTCAAGATGTATTAATATTGGGTATACATCAGACTAGTGCGGCTCAAGGTACGATCTATCAGTCAAGGTAATGGTAGGGCGTGTTGGATGTTTCCTACAACCTGCACATTGCTGCCACCAAGATGTCGTTGTTATACAACATAGTTGAGGCTTCTGCCCACTGAGTTTCTCGTCGGATCGTCTCAGTGGGTCGCGATTCCGATCCGGTGGTAGATTCTGCGAAGTACTACTCTTGCTAGGGCTAGTGTTATCAAATTCTCTCAGGTTGAACCCGTGAGCTCACCTACCCATCTGGGTGTATCTGGAATAGCCTCTTAGGCTACCAGGAAATAGGTAGGGAAAAAAATTGAGGCTTCTTCTTCAGGTCTCTAGATGGGTGGCGGCATTTACGTTGTGATGTCTATAGTGTCCAATCTCTTCGCAATCGGGAGACTACGAAGTCGTCGACCTTGTTAAAGCAAAAATATTAAATATCTTACATTCTTCATTCCTACTGGCTCCTGCCAGTAAATAGCATTAGTAGGAGAATGATACAATTATTTGTTACTAATACTTATGTGTTGGGTCAAATCCGATGTAGGTCGAGTTGTGAAAATCAATTGAATAGACTTCCGGCTTCCCGCGCTGCGACACTTCCGTTATACGTCATGTCTATACAAACAGTAAATGTTCAACAAGCTCCAAAAGGTGTATTCGCGATGGTGCGTTCTTGAGAGTACATAACAATTGAATTCGAATTTTCATTTCTAAGGGACTGTTGAAAAAGTAAACTCTTAGAAAAAGGTTGACAGTAATTGAGATAGTTTTTTCTGCGGTTTTCGCGAGTTCCAGATATAATTAATTTTTTTTAGCAAATTACGCACGATTGTCCTGCCTCTATACTTATACATCTAAGTGTATACATTTATAAATAATAAACACCCAAACGAAGTACAAACAAACCTGATAATGACACAAATATTTGCCCTATATGGGAATCGAACCCACAACCCTCGGTGCAACAGTTAAGGGCATTAACTAGTGCACCATCGAGTCAGTCAAATAATAATGATTGCTTGCAGTTTTCGTTTTCAATTGTCCGTGACCAAGAATTAAATAATTGAGATTTTATAAAGAATTCCATTGTAGACGCTGCTTTAGTTCAACAAAACACAACCGTAGGAGCTTTGCGTATTGCGTAGCTTTGAGTGTTTGAGTCTCAGTGACTACGTTCATTTGTACATTGGCTTTCAGAAGGGCTGCAGTGTCCGTGCAATATTTTGTATTTAAAAATTTAAGTTTCTCGTCTTTCGAACTACATTTAATGCATTTTTTTAATCATTTTGTCTTTTCTCGTGCACAATGTTGAGTGAATTCCGGAGAATCTATGTACGTTTTGATTACAGTAATATGTATTAAAATTAGTAATAACTTAGTAATCAATTAGTAATCTGAATCATTAAATTTTTTATTGAACGTTAAATCAAACGCAATTGGGAATTTGTAATGACTTGAACAAAATTGAGAACATCTTGCTTTAGATAAACCTCGGTACTTTTACAAAATAATGTGTTGATGTGTTTCAGTTGGACGAGTGTAGCGATTACGAGCAACGACGTCGGCTGAGGGCACGCATCCGCACACTCATGGCCGAACAAGAAGGTAGGCCCTTAGCTATTTACAGCTTCTATGATATGAATGTTCATTAAAGCATTCTATGTAATACCCCGTGTGCTTGCAGCATGCACGAGCGCGGTGACAGAAGCGCTGGAGGCAGCGGGCGAGGCGGCGGGGGAGGGCTCCGAAACGCGCGGTGAGTCTCTACTTCTGCCGCTCCTGCAGGGTCTACTGGGTAGCGCCGGAGACCGACTGCTCGCCGGACTCGGGGCCGCACCTGCTGATGTTGTGGCCGATGTACGACGGTCCCTGGCCAGGCTCCGATCAGCACTGGCCCCGCCCGCCCAGCACCCGCAAGCCAACGCCCTGCTCACTCTAGCGGACAAGCTGGAAGACGCCCTCGACGCCGCCGACCGGCTCGACGGGTGCCGCCGCCGTCCGCGACGACGCAGTCGGGCCGCTCGACACACTGTCGGTGTCACACACGAGGACTTAGAGAAGGCGCGATGTCTAGTCGATCGCGAGGATCTCGAACGTCCGACCTCTACCGCGGTCAAACCTGATAATACCGTCTCGAACACCGAAGCCGCGACACCCGAGCGGAAGGCGAGCGTAGATGATGTCAGCTATCACCCTGCTGTCGAGATCCGAGAGAAACATCCCCCGGTCGCGCACTCAATTAGCTATGAGCCCCCAAAAGTCGTTCACGAGAACACAGCGGTTGAAAGGCGAGTTCCGGCGCCGCGTCGACCTGAGTTTTTCCGACATTCAGTAGCGGAAACGGGCGTGCCTGGACCGCAACCACAACAGGAATCCCAACCTCGTACCGATAGACGCCCGTCCGACTCTAGGAGCAGCATAGCATTGATCGCTAATAAGTTCGATACCCAGGCGCAAGCTCCCCGCGAGACGCGTCGCGCCCCGTTCGAGGCGGCTCCCCGACGCGCACCTCGCGAGGATCCGAAGCGAGCGACGCTGTACATGCCACCGCCTCCCACTTACAATTTTGCCGCGTTGCCCGTCACTCGGGATGATTCCAAGCCAATCGGTCGATTTTCTAATAATAAGAAACTACGTATGAAACGCGCTAATACTATTGATATTGGGCGGCCCTTTGGTGGCTACAGGCTCGATAGTGACAATGATGATCAAGGACAGAAGCAGGCTCCCGCCGTACCGGAATTTAAGCCTCAGACCGAGAATGACAAAAAATTTGTCGCTTTCATGAAGAAAAATGAGCCTTCCGAAAGCCAGCAAACAGTACCGAATAACAATTGGAGCAGCAGGTTCGGAAATATTAAAAATTCTTTCGAGAGTCGAGAACGTGAAGAAAGCACACGTTCCTTAAGTGCGTCATCAGCGCGTCGTTTCTGGCAGACCACTGAGTCTGGCGCTCCCGCTCAGCGACCTAGGAAATTCTTTGGTGACACGAACTCTGAGATAGTGAAACCGCCATGGGTGACGGATCGCCGCGAGCCGCCTCGCGCGAACTTCCCGCGTCAGCAACCTCTTCCCCCTCCTCCTCCACCTTCGCTCCAACCCACATTTGCTCCTCTGCCTCCCACTCCACCCGTTCAACCTACTGCCCCGCAAGCTCCAACGAAGCCTATAGTAATTAAGCCATTTGTGGCGCGTCCGATTCCGGTCAATCAGTTCTCTCACGCACCGATGTCCGCTTTCAAACCGCTCTCGAAAGCCGCATCTCCAACGGCCACCCCAGCTCACGTATGGAGCCCGCCCTCTACTGGCACAGCATCTTCTCCTGCGTCTGAAGTTCCGCCGGCTTTTCCTTTGATTCCAAAATCGATGTTGCCGATTTCCCCAACCATTGCTCCAGCTGCTCTCCCTATTTATAACGACAACGAAAGGCAACCCGCACCCCCTTCGTCAACGTTTAATCCCAATACTTTCGTTTTATCCTCCCCGAAAACGCAGACACATCCACAGATTCAAAACTACCCTCTGCAAGTTATACCAAGTCAAAACGATCTCTCTGCGCCGGAGCTTGTTCGCAAAATAAACGATGACAAACCTCAGACCGGTGAAGTGGATGCTCAAAAGCTTCAAATAGAATTCTATGAAAGACAAATCCGACAGAGACAGCGGAGAACCGACCAATGTCCGATCGACCGGAAACCGCCGCTCACATACACAGTCACTGATTTCACGCCGAACGGCGGTACTTCGACATTTGTCCCGCTACAACGCACTCCTGACATTGAAAAAACTCGCATTCAGAAAGTCGACTATTTGCCAGATGTTGTCACTAATGACACAGAACGATTGCAATCTCATCCCTCGTCGACCGCACCCCGTGCCCCTCCCTCCCCGCGATCCCTCAACCACGCGAAAATTTCACACTCGCAACACAACGGCGACGCAATGTACTCGAATGGCACCGACGAGGATGCGGCCACGGAACACGGCAGTGTAGTAACGCGAGTAATGCGCGGACCGGTGCGGGGTGCCGCAACCATCACCGCCGGAGTGCGCACGCGAGGTGACGAGGGACGCAGACCCTTTGCTGCCGACAATCTCCGCGGGGTACTCGATAAGTTCTCTTCTCCAAAACATGAAGTCTTAAACCAAATCGAACGGAAAAAGCGCGAAGTCGCACGAGTACAAGCGCCTGGTCGGTCTCCGTTGGGGGCCTCCCGCGAGTCGGTCTTGTCTAGTTCGTCAACAGGCAGTGCGCCATTGAGCCGCTCGGGCTCGTGGCACCAAGTGGTTCCTCCACAGCCTTCTTCCCCTCGGCGAGTCGTAGCTCGTGCTAAGTCGATGCACCTTCTCGCCGTACCCAAGCTGTATGAAGGAGGTATTGCTCGCGAGGAAGTGCAAGACAAAAAGAAAACTGTGGAGGCGTACTTCACGGGACAGGCGCGGTCGAAGGCTCACGCTCGACAAGCGCCGTCATATTCTCTGGGGCGCAGCCGCACGATGGCCGCGGTGACAGAGCTGCAATTCCTGGACGAGAGCAACGCAGACGACGCATTCGAAGACCTGGTGTCGGCGCTCGCGTAGCGCCGCGAGCACATTCCACTAGTTAGGAGCGGGAGACGAGCGAGACGCGCGTGAGTCGTGTGTGTGTGGTGCCTGCCGCCGCTTGTGTCGATCCCCCTCACCCCGGCTCCCAGTCCCTCATACGCACCCCTCACCCCAACGCGCCCGTCACCCACCGATGTATATAACGTAACATGCGACTTCTCATCTCCGTGCCCTGTAACCGTGTTTATTTTCACTAATAGCTTTAAGTATCGTGTACATATTGTCTTGCTGATTGTTCCCGGCGTGTTTCAAATAGAATTAGATTTGGGAGCGTGTAACCCGCCCAACATCGTTTGGTAAATTTGTTTATTTCTTTATAGAAGAAGAAGAAGTTACGGTGACATCGAGCGTAAGGAGGAACTCGTCGGAAAAGACAGTTAGCAGTAGTACTATCACNTTTTCACTAATAGCTTTAAGTATCGTGTACATATTGTCTTGCTGATTGTTCCCGGCGTGTTTCAAATAGAATTAGATTTGGGAGCGTGTAACCCGCCCAACATCGTTTGGTAAATTTGTTTATTTCTTTATAGAAGAAGAAGAAGTTACGGTGACATCGAGCGTAAGGAGGAACTCGTCGGAAAAGACAGTTAGCAGTAGTACTATCACCACGAAAACTTCTAAAGGTTGGTGACGACAACAACCAATACGATTAACTCTAAAATTCATTCTTCTTGTAATGTAAGATGAACTATTCTTATTATCTAATTATGATTTTATTAGTGATAGAGAACAGCACACGGCCGGCGCCGAAGACCGTGTCTCCATTCGCTAAGTTCCGGCAGCTCGAGAAGCAAAACTCAACAAACAGTCCCAAGTGAGTTCTTGTTGATTGTATTTGATCTACTCGTAGCAATATCGAAAGTATATAAATTGACCACAAGGTTGATTATTGATCTGGCTCATTTATTATGTATCATGAAATTATCTTTTGGCTTCATAATGATATTTAATGCAATATATTTTATTTATTTCCTGCAGCCATATCTGTGGATGCGAATGAGGATAAAAATACAAGTAAATATACGAATCATAGATATTATTATAACTTAATATTTAGACGCATCATTTATACAATTATTTTCATTGCTCGCGTACCATTATTTTATTATAGGTTGAGCACATGCGGATTCTTGTCAATAATCGCATTCGAGTCCTTAACCTACCATCAAAACTTCATCATTCGGAGCTCGGCTGAAACAGACGCTCGTTCTTAGTCGGCAAAAGCATACGCGTTTTTTGTAAATAACCATCGATTACTTAACAACCACTACGCGTTTAGCACCCGAATGTGAGAGAGAAAGCACACGAACTAATCGGCGTGAGACCGCTCGAGACTAATCCGCGGAAAGAGCACGCGAGTCAAGATTAACCTGAGCTCCCGGTTGTAGCTCGCCCAAGACTCCGCAGAGCCCGGGCTCTCCGTCGGAGCCTTTCTTCAAGTTCACGGATCCCGCACTGCAAGCGAGCGCGCTCACTATTAAAGAGCGGCTGCTGCAGTGGTGTCGCGACAAGACCCGAGACTACGAGGTACAATGTCCGCCCGGCGCACCCTCTCCCCACTGCGTGTACCATAGCATCGTCTAGATACGCTATACGCCCTTGTAAATATTAGTTAGGGCAAAACAACACCTTTAACTCAAATATTCAAGCTATAAGTACGTGTCAATTTATAAATGTAAACGTGATGGGGAGGTGCTCTATGGGATATATAAACGGATGCAGCTTTTTAATAATTCAGATTTGATGAAAAGCGATCGTCGAATTAATTTTCAAATCTTAGTGATGATAAAAACTTGCATCAGTTTATTTTAGGGCGTTTGGTCGTTGCGGAAACCCGCGGGGTCGATCCTTCAGCATGCAGGAGCGCACCTACCCGAGACTTCACTAACACACGTGCGCACTGACGTCACAACTCACAACCTCCGCTTTTTAGTCGCTTCGTTATTTGCTATGCTGGTTTTCTTTATGTATTTATTTCTGTTATGTTTATTTTTCAAGTAATATATTCATGATCATTGCAACAACCGAATTATATTACTTTGGCTGTTAAAATTTTAATTCTAAGTAATAATACGTAAGTACTTCGATTCATGCAATCATATCTGAAATTAGTAATTATACTTCGATTGATAACGTGTTTTTTGGCAATTTAAACTTGTTTTGTTTTGTTGATTGGAAATCAATGTATTGACGGCATGGATGTGAAAAATTCCGTTTTTTCAATCGCATGTACTTTTGTGTTTTCCTGGGTGTTTTTAATGTGCACAAGAAATAAGATGGATCATTTATAGATATGTAAATATTTATTGTAAAAATTACATGACTGATTTTGTCCTTCAATCACAAAATTGCAGTTTTACCCTTGCACAAAATCACAGGCACTTAAGAGTCCGTAACAATTATAATTTTAATATCGCAAATGTAAATATCCAATTTGTTTTTGACCTTAATTATTAGCTGAAAATATAATCACACCTTTTCAGTTCCTAAATAATATTAAAAACGCAGATAAGTATCCAAGTAGCGTCACGTAAAAAGCTTCATTTCTCAACACGCGCCATGTAATTTTCAGAATGTAAAGCTGGAGAACTTTTCGACGAGCTGGGCGGACGGTCTCGCGTTCTGCGCTTTACTACATCACTTCCTGCCGGACGCGTTTGACTACTCAAAACTGACGCCGGAGAGAAGACGACACAATTTTACGCTCGCCTTCAAAATTGCCGAGTAAGTCGTTTTTAATGAGATGGATAATCGCAACTAGAATAATAAGCTAGGTATATGTACGTATATATTTTTTTTATTGCTTAAACGAGTGGACGAACTCACAGCCCACCTGGTGTTAAGTGGAACGTAAATGCGCCACCTACCTTGAGATAAGAGTTCTAAGGTCTCAGTATAGTTACAACGGCTGCCCCACCCTTCAAACCGAAACGCATTACTGCTTCACGGCAGAAATAGTCGGGGTGGTGGTACCTACCCGTGCGGACTCACAAGAGGTCCTACCACCAGTATGGGTATATTTTTTGTAGTGAAGCTATCTAGCCTTCATATTTGTAGGATGATACAACCGCTCCAATACCCCTGAACACGTCTCACGGCAACCGGTGCGCCTACATCCACAATGTGATGTCTGTCGGATCCAGTAACCAAATAGCATCACGTGGGTTCAGCTCGTCCACTGATGTGGAGCTGTCACTCAAGATCATTGACACTAAAGTACCAAGGGTACGAAGTCTCAGTATCACTCAATATCACTCAATGCTCGTTGGCTGACTAACTGCATATCTATACTAACATATAAATCTACAGTGGTTTTTAGGGATGTTCCGTTATAACTACTGAACCATGCATCCGATTGACTTGAAACTTGGTATCCATGTAGAAAATACATGTACTTAATTGATAGGCTAATATTTATATGAGTATTGAGCTCCCTACACCAGTTGAGGGGGCGTTAATGATGAGAATCTTCGTGGGGGTGAGAAATAATAATGTTAATTTTAAAAGCCCAGCAAAGCGGACGGGTACAGCTAGTCAGTTTATAAGTATAACGACCGTAGGTACTATTCGCTAAGATAAAACCTAAAAAGGAATCTAAATATCTCAATGATTTTTTCTATTCCCCAGTGAGAAGGCGGGCATATATCCCTTGCTGGATGTGGAAGATATGGTGACGATGCGCAAACCTGATTGGAAGTGCGTCTTCACCTATGTCCAGTCCATCCACCGCCGGTTCAAAGATCAGAACTGATCGTCTACAGAACTTTCCTTCTACCTCAATTCCTGCGCGATCATATGCAAACATTCAAACTTAGATTCTTGAAACTATACGATATTCCGTTAGAGTAAAGCTTTAGCGTGCAGAGCATATTAAATAAATATTCTTAGCACGATATTCATTGTAGTCTAATTGAAAATCGTAAATTTCTAAAGCACGCTTCAATGATGTTTGTGTGTGAGGGCGCGGGAGTGCTCAGGGAGGGTCGGCGTTGGTGAGGTGTAGTCAAACGATAGTGTCACAAAAACGTTATTCTAATTGTATGTTACGTCCAAAGAGTGTATGTTGTTGATTTTTATTGTTTTTTTTTCTTTTATATATAAACTTATTGAAGTGAAATTTCTTTGGAGGGTCTGATGGCAGAATTATCGAAAAGAGAATTTATTTAGGAAACAACTTATAAAAAATTGCATTATAAAAAAATACAATCTCACATTGTCCATAATCTCATTTTATTTTCGAATTCAAATTCCCTTCTGACTTACAAATAATTACCAGATCAAAGTACTTACTCCGTGGTGTGGTCCGCAAGTGGCCAGCCCCGCAGTAACAACATGTATAGTGTAATGACATTAATTAAACCGAACCAGAGAAATTTCACTTGTAAGTCGGCCGTCGTTCTGACGGTCATTGTCCGCCCAACTTGTTTCTCCAAGCGCTCTCGGAATCTCCTAATTATTTTATAATCTCAAGATGTGATTTTTAATTATTCTAGTTTATAAGACGTGTACTAACTTTATCGAACGATTAATGTTGCTGTAGTTATTGAACTGCGTTTGAGGATCGCTTTGGCTTATTCTTTCACATAAGGAAGTTGCATCCTCGGGGTCTGCTCGGAAGAAATGTATTAACGTAATTTTGACATTTTTTTATTATTATTATTTAACAGCAGCTTTACTTAATCGCCTAATTTTACGAAAATGATGTATGACATATTTATAAATATTTAATAATGAAGAATAAATTAACATTTTTTTTTTCGATTCGTGTTTTATTTGACCAACTGACGCGACCAGTCTTCTGCGCCCGCGGCTTCACTTCAGTACTCACCTACTAATATTGCTGAATTGAGATCTAGTAGATGAATACTATGGGCATTAGTAGATGAGCCCGGCGCCCGCCTCTTCTAATTACCACCCCTTATACAGGCGACTGACCACTGACCGTTTCACCGAATCGTATTCGCGACGAGCGCCAAGTCTACAGTGTCGTTCGGCTCGGCTCGGCTCGCTGTACCGACCACTGAACGCTCACGTGTCGCAGACCATTCGCGAGCTTTAAATGGATAAGAAATTTCCAGACAAACTCAATTTCGTTAACACAATCTCACATCTGTGTGCTAGTGTGAATTTTTTAACGTTCTCGATAGTGTAAAAGTTAGCTCATATTTGTATGGAATGGGATTGTTTGCTTACGCTTGCCGCTAGAGGCGCTGTTCCAACTGCAAACAAAATTGGCTTAACTTTTACGCTATCGAGAAAGTTAAAAAACTCGCACTGAGCATACTGGTCTTCAAATATGAATCATCTTCAATGGTCTTGTTTCAAACCCTTGTAGTTCATGAGGCAGACTGTGTTTGGCAGTGGGAATCAATTAATAAAACTTCCAATATGACAATTGTGTAGTAGTATGTAAAATACGATTACAAAGAAAGCGGTTGCGAGAATAAAATACACAATCGACATGGACATTGCCAGGTCAGACACGCATTTGACGCCGGCTCACATGTAGAGTCGAATTGCTCACGCTGGTTTGTGAAGTATCCTTAGGCAATATGTAAATTTCAATTCATTGAAAGAACATTTCAATGAGATGGGCCTAGAAAGAGTTTCGCCACAATTTAATTTATTAAAATATTTTTCGAAAGACAAACCTGAAATTGTTAATTTCTAATATACAGATAAAATAATACTAATGGTATCTAGTATAAATATACACTAACTGTTATATAAATCAATTTCCTGTCTAAGACTTTCAAGAATCCGGCAAAGTATACGGAACAGCGACCATAAATGGATCAGCTACATTTGTGCTCCTATCTCTGGTGGAGCTATCAACGGCTACCACGGTCTGGTCTGATGCTTGAGGGGTGAGGTGGGGGGAGGCACGGAGGGAGCGGTGCGGGGAGAGGGTGACGTGCACGTGCAGAGTACTGTCGCGCCACGCCCTCCACGAGCTCTGGTGCTCTTGAATCTTAAGCAGCATCCAAGTGGTTAAAAGCCCGTTTAAGGCACCTGTGAAATAGTCAAGAAACCTTCATAATTCTATCTACTAGAGAATCTAACATTAATCAAAGTTTATCCGTTTAATAAGTCCATGTTATATTAGAAGATATTCAATCTTCTCTGTGTTTTGAAAACCTTGAGCTGCTCTTCTTACGGCCTTGACATTTGTCCGTCGTAATCACCTGGCCATAATTATTTAGGTACGTATTATGAGTACTACTACTACTACTACTATCCGTCCCTGTTCCCGTTATCTGGGGTCGGGTTTCCTCATTCTACGGCGCCAGGCTGATCTGTCCTGGGTTGTCGGTTTTGGTAATTGGGCTTTCTTAAGGTCTCTTTCGATGTTTGACCACCAGGTCGATGGCGGACTGCCTCTACCTTTCTTTTGTTCTGGCAAGCTTAATGCGATTTTCACTAGATGGTTTTCGTCCCGTCTCATGATATGGCCATACCATCTAAGGCGGTTTTCCGTCATTTTGTCTTTTACGTATTATTTTACGTATTATGAGTATTTACTTAAAATAGGAAGTAGGAGAATTGCGTAGGCCAATTGATACCTACCCGGTAGGTAAGGGGATTGCATTTGAGTAAATACTTAAAATGGTGGCTTATGGCTTACCATCCCCTTACCGCAAAGCAACCGCTCACTTTGAATAGAGGATAGCCGTTTAGTCAATTTGGCTTTATATAATATGTCAGTGAGTAGGGATATTTACATTATTAAAGAGTTGATTAGCCCCGATAGTAAGTGAACATTAGATAGACTGCCCGTCTACGCCAAACCTTAATTTAACTCCCTAGATGCATGGGCCTTATGTTTACGCTCACCAATAACTCCAATCAAAATCGAAGAGAAGAGGTTAGCGGCCAGGGCAGCCCCGCCGCCGCGCGTGGCGCCCGCCTGCAGCACGGCGTCGCACGCGTGCAGCGCCCGCGCCGTGCCCAGCACGCTCGCCGCGCCCAGCACCAGCCCGCGCCACGCGTCCGCCGCCAGCGCGCGCCCCTGCCCCGACACCGCCCATTCCGCCATGGAACGGATCCAGGACCATCTGTGTCACCAACATTACGAACNAGCGGCCAGGGCAGCCCCGCCGCCGCGCGTGGCGCCCGCCTGCAGCACGGCGTCGCACGCGTGCAGCGCCCGCGCCGTGCCCAGCACGCTCGCCGCGCCCAGCACCAGCCCGCGCCACGCGTCCGCCGCCAGCGCGCGCCCCTGCCCCGACACCGCCCATTCCGCCATGGAACGGATCCAGGACCATCTGTGTCACCAACATTACGAACCAGTCATTTGTCTGTCGAATCTTCAATATATGTGTCAACTCCCTAATGGGTTTCTATCGCCTAGGAATCGTTACAGTGTATTTCGCAAATAACATAAGGCGCTGGAGTTCGAGATAAATACAATTTCACCAAAGTACAACTAAAACTGTATTCAACACTTAGAACACTTTAAAACTCTCAATTCGCTTCTTCCGCTTCGCTTCAGGTGATCCGTTCGCTGTTTCGATTCGAGTAGTTACGATTACTGACTGACTGCCTGCCATCCCTGCAGCGCTTTTATAGTCGATATCACATCCCTAGAATTATCGAGAATATTCCGCACATCTCTAGTATTATTTCCGCCACCTGGCAATAGATGGCGTTGTACTTCTCGAGCGTTCTAGGTGCTACTAGATCCTTCGATGTTCGTTCGACTATTCGGCGATAGGTGGCGTTACTCTTACCGGCGTAACAATAGTATTTACTCGCAATCTGTATACAACAAGACACAACGAGATAGCGTGTAAATGCTCTACTAACTTATGACTCCTCGTAACAATGTAATGATGCCTGCACAGCTCGCAGTACGATGTAGCGGCCTGCAGGAGCCAGCGCTCGAGGCAGGTCCGATGGACAGCGGCGATGGTTCCCCGGCAGCCGCACGGCCGGACCAGTCTCTCGGCGCTCTCTCCACCAAAACAAATGCGACATATGTCCGACCGCAGGCTTCCCGTGAAGCTTGGAACATCTTTAGGAGTTACGGTGCCCTGTTAGGAGAATCATATTCTTACACAAAACTTACCTTACAACCTTAGGACTTGGTCCTGATTGCTTTTCAATACCTAAGCATGCGATAAGGAGGATCTAGCAGGGTGATGAGTCCAAACGGACGGAATAGGTAATGGAGAATCCTCAATTCTGTTAAAGCATTACCTAAAATTGTATTAAGTCCATTGCTGCTAAATCCTTGTCAGTGTACGTCCCAGCGTATACAGGGTGCGCCAATCACCACCATTACAAGAAAACTCGTAGTATTCAGTCAAATTAACTATTTGTATTAATTGTATAAGCTTGTAGGAAAATATAAAAATGGAAACAAAGCTCTGATCCAATTTTGTAGAGCCTTGAAACTCTTTGTGCTTGTCGAACGAAAAATAACAATAAATAAATATTAAGACTTCAGCTTATTGCAATATTTTAATGTAACCCATCTTAAATGCCTTTATTATTCGCTGCCACTAAATAGAATCATTGCTATGGTCCTATGTAATTGTACGCATCTTAAAGTACCTTTTATAGTAATTTAAGGACTTACTTGTTTATTCAATAATAACGCACAGACAGATCCTATTAAAGATATGGATCTGCCAGCAGGATGTACCAGAGAAGATGCAGGGGATGAAACTGTCAGGGAATCGGCAATACGAGCTCGTAGCAAACGCTGTTCTTCCACTTCATTTGCTTAATAATAAATAAATAATTATTTTCCAGACAATCAACAATATAAAAGAGAGGGTGGTGTCTGACGGACACGCGGTTGGAATACAATTCTATTTACTTACCATACATTTTGTGTTTGTATTAAGTAACGATTAAATAAAGATAAAGGTTGAGTATAGAATAATTAAACGAATCATAAAATGCGAATAAATGCGAATAATGTTGGTATTTGAATTTCTCGAATATTGGTGAATTTTTTTATCGCAATTTAATTTTTTTTTTAATGCCCATTACTCTATTACATATTCTCTGAATTGGTGGTAAGGTGAATCTATAGAAAAATATTTAATTTCCTGTGTGGTCAAGAAATGGCTCAAAAACACAGTTACACTTTCTTCAGCCCGCAAACAAAACGTACGGTAAGGGACTCTATTCCAATAATTATGAAATTATATTACATTAAGCAGTAAGAATATTGTATTACAGTAATCAGCAACAAGTCTCAGCATTTTAATGAGACTTTTTACCTAATATTATCGGGGCTTCTCCAAATTATATCGCGAAATCTTCATTTTTTGTAAAAGCTGGAAAGTATCGATGGATTGACTGATATGGACACGGGAATTCAATGCTATCAAACCAGTCGCTCACAAATGACCAATCCAATAAGTTTGTGTTGGGAGGGAAAAGAGGCATTTGAAGAAGATTCGCTACCTGGAGAAGCGATCCCAGAGATAATTCTGCAACTGATGTCCGTCTGCTGTGACGACGACCGGAGTTCTCTGTCGCGTTGATGCGCCTGAGAGAGGTTTTGTTATATTGAAGTTTTATTTCTCAATGTATTTTTGTGTTGCGATATACGACATACATACCGGACCTAGGTATAAAAATTAGCAAACCCTGAGTTCCTTACCGACACTTATCAATCTGTGCTTCACATCGGTTATAACGATTTGAGAGTCCTTCCAAGCCAAAAAGGCTTTTTTGAATAAAAATCACTTTGATTTTAATTAAATGAAAGTAAACTACCATATTTTCTAAGGTTTTTGTGATCCTATTTTACGATTTATGTTAACTAATAAAGCTGTTTAATCATTTATTTCTAACGCCATTGTTTATTTGAATTTAGGTCAGAATTTTACGTGACATTATGATCCTTACCTCAGTTTTCTACACAAATCTGTTTAAAAAAAATGTACATACCTATAGATTTGGCTGATTTGTGGTCAGACAACTAAACGGATTTTACTGTACCAGTACTTTTGTGAAATTATTCAATATCCAGCCACTTTCGTTGAATTTTATAACAACGTTATACAAATAGATAAAATCGTTTACAAATCGTACTGGTACTTGCTGCGTGGAAGAACAGGTCGAGGCTGTGACGCTCATGGTGGCCCGACTCTCGGACTCGTCGCAGCCCCGGTACATCAGCAGGGTTTCAGCCTCATTCACGTAACAATCCTATAGTCAATAAATGTGGGAATCAGCTTGGTTAATTGCCATAACATACGGCCCACCTGATGGTAAGTGGTTACCATCGCTCATGGACGTCAGCAATGCCAGGGGCAGAGCCAAGCCGCTGCCTACCGTTTAATACTCTCCACAAGCTTCGTTTGAAGAAGGACATGTAGGCAGACGAACATACGGCCCACCTGATGGTAAGTGGTTACCATCGCTCATGGACGTCAGCAATGCCAGGGGCAGAGCCAAGCCGCTGCCTACCGTTTAATACTCTCCACAAGCTTCGTTTGAAGAAGGACATGTCATAGCGCTCGGGAAACACCGTGAAGGGGAACTCGTTCCAAAGCCGGATGGTACGTGGCAAAAAGGATCTCTGGAAACGCACTGTGGATGAACGCAGTGGCTCCAGGTAGTATGGATGAACTCTACTCTGAGGCCGGCGGGGCGATGCTAATAACGAGATGATGATATCATCTCAAACAATTCCTCAAAGCACTGCCCATGAAACATACGGTACAAAATACAGAGGGAACCGAAGTCCCTCCGCAGACCCAGAGGTTCTAAACGATCCGTGAGAATGGGATTATCGACAATCCGAACAGTATTTCCATGAGATGTACCTACACGAAACTCATGATTATAAGATATAATCATGAGTTAGTCATTCAACAATTCCAGCCCCCTGGCTCTGACAATCCACACAACAAAACACAATCAAAACGAAAAGAAATATGTGTTATTGAACAAACGAATGTTTTGTTAATCCAAGATCCGTATCAACTGGTACACCCTGCAAGAAATACGTCCCTCTCAAAGCGGTCGCCGAACACTGAATAGCCAGACTGATTTGGCGTATACGAGTGCCTTCTTTTAGTCATTTTAGATGCTCTCGGTGTTTTAGGTAATCACTTAGTTTAATAAAATTAATTCGTTTGTTACTATTTTCATTCTGTGGTGTATAATATTTTACGGATGCAAGTATGGTACAAACTCTAATTATATTGGAAAAGCTGCAAGTTCGATGAAATCTAAAATTGATTCTTTCTAAAGCTTCTTGAATTCTTGGTCTGAGCGAGGCCGATGAGAGGACTGCCTGTCTCACATCCTGCACTGGTTGTCTTGTGAAATCATCCGCCTGGTTGGAATTTACGAAGCAATTTCGTGTTATAAATCTGTTCATTTTTCAAAACCGTCCATATTAATTAATCTGTTTATTTTTACTGTAATTTTAAAATACATGTAATTTTCAAATCATAATTAATGAAAAAAGATACTCTTTGATGTTGGGATGAACGGTGCAAGGTGGTGTGATCGACGTCGTAAACAGAGATAACTTATGCATTATATTTCCGTGAAATGTCGTACATGACATTTTTCTTTTTGGCTTTTAAACTTTTTAGCAAAACTAATTTAGGTCATGGTAATCAAATCAAATAAAAGTAACGTACTATGTTAAAATTCTCCAAAAATTTTAATGTCATTAAAAACTTATTATAGGCAATCTTTGGTATCATCATTAAAAAAAAATTATGTTTTTAAAAGTATGTTTACTACAGGAACTGTAGCATCATATCTCTCTTTCTTCGTTATTTTATAAAATCTGAAATTCCCGGTTCTTATTTCTGTGTTTACCAAACATAAATTTCATAGCTGTTATATGGACATTAATATTTATAATAGTACCGTGCAGTATCCCTATAGAACAGCTCAAACTTTTTTTTTTCTTCGAATTAACAATCAGTGCGAATCGAAAAAAAAAAGCGCTTTTCTTAGATACCTATGTTAGTAACCAATGCCGTCTGCAGGGCCGCGCCCATAGATTATACACTGCACAGACAATAAGGGCGCCGCGCCGCCACCGAAATTATATAGGTTCCACTTACCTAAACAACAAAATACGAGGGCGGCACTGAAAATTTCGGGAATTAACGAAGTGACACAACATTACTATTTAAAAATGTATTTATTGCTTTTCGAAGTATTCTCCGCGAAATTTGACACATTTTTCCATACAATGGAACCAATCATTGAAGCAACCATTCCATTCGGAAGTTGGGGTCTCCAAAACGGCCGTTTTGTAGGCGTCCATCAGGTGATGAAAATCTCTGTCCACGCAATTTATTCTTTATTTTAGGGAAAGTATAGAAATCATTAGGGCTTAGGTCGGGGCTGTACGGCGGATGGTCTAATAATTCTATGTTTTCTTGCTCTAAAAACTCTTTTGTTCAGTGCGCGGTGTGAGAACTCGCATTGTCGTGAGGGAGGATGATGCGGCGGTAGCAGTTCTCTTTACGGAGTTCAGAAACGACCTGTGGCAAACAAATGCTAGCATACCATTCTGTATTAACCATTCTTTGTCCCTCAAGAGGAATAGTCGTAACATGGCCGGTTTTGGAGACAAACGTGGCCACCATTTTTTTGCAACACTCCGTGAACGAACAATTTTTGTTGGCTTTAACTCATTTTCGAACACCCAAACTCGTGACTGGTTTTTTGTTTCGGGTTCGTACGCGTATATCCAGGATTCGTCACCTGATACAATGTTGTATACAGCATTTGAGGATCCTGCGTGGAATCTTTCGAGAGTTCTGACGCACCAAGTAACGCGAGCCGCTTTTTGCTCTTCACAGAGCGAATGCGGTATCCATCGGGAAAACAACTTTTTTACACCTAATTGTTCATGCAAGATTATTTGTATTTGACTCATGCCAATGTCTAAAGTTGCCTGAATTTCGCGGTATGTCACATGTCGATCTTCCTCAATCAGCTTACGCACAGCATCAACGTTTTCTTGGGTGACTGCAGTTTTTGGACGACCTTGACGGGGATCATCACTGAGCTTGACACGTCCACGTTGAAACTCAGCAAACCAGCGATAAATTGTGGTTTTGGATGAGGCTTCATCACCAAATGCAGAAATCATCCGGTCAACACACTGTTTTTGTGTTAAACCACTTCGAAAGTCATAATAAATCATCGGTCTTGAATTTTCTCGAGTCAATTCCATTTTCTCAACGACTAAACAAGTTTGACAAAACCTCGTGACAAGACCGAGAATCTTTTTTTAAATAAATAAATGGTATTCGATTTTTAAAACCAAGGAGTTTTCAATTAAAAAGATTTTAATATGACTCCTCTTCGTCGCTTTCTTCATTGCTGAAGGTCGTGTCCCTGAAACTTGACCGTTGCCTGTCTCGTGAGCTGTTTCCATCTCGTCCGGTCCTCAGCTGCTCGAATGGCGGTTGCGACTGGCAACCCAGTTAGAGCGGTTACTTGATCACACCAACGGCTAGGTAATCGGCCGCGGGGTCTCTTTCCTTCTACTTTGCCCGTCACAATCACTTTGTCCAAGTTATCTGACTGTCGGCGGGCAATATGACCGAAGTAGCTGAGGATCCTCTGGTAACAGATTGTTGAGAGCCTAATAATATAATGATAATATGACAAGAAGTGGAAATATTCCATTCCCGATACTTTTAGTGCAGCCTAGTATTCTTTGTATTCGTTATATAAAGAGTTACAATAGGTGTAAGATATACCTTGTAAATAACAAAACATTTAAGTACAAGTTTCCCAATGTTTACGTCAAAACAATAAGTCAAATAATAATAAAAAATACATTGAAACATGAAGATTCGTAAAAATAGGGGGCGCGCGGGCGCTTCATGGGTTTCGCACACAGGCGCTGGCGGGGGTCTGCGCGAGGCTGGCCGTCTGTGGCCTAATAGTGATTTGGTAATATTTGTAAATTAAACACATAAAACTAAACACAGAATTATCATACCTATTCTATTGAAATAATATATCTTGTCTGATATCAGTGACCCACAGAAAATTTATGGCAACACTGGACTCGACTGTCAGACATTAAAAAATCAATTTGTCAAACAAATCCAATTTCATTTAGACGCTTGTGTTTTTCGCAACCCACGTGAAGAATCGCATCATATTGTGAAATACATAATAAGGGAAAAGGTTAAACGAAAAACCAAAATCATGGCGGTTCGCGTTCAATTTGAAAATAATAATGAAGTGGGAGTGTTCAGTAAATTAACAAACACATACTGCCTTGTCGCGATTGGAGGTTCGGAGAATTTTTACAGCGTGTTCGAAGCTGAATTAGCGGAGACCATCCCAGTGATACATGCGAGTGTTGGAGGCTGCCGAATCATCGGTAGAATGACCGTAGGGAACAAGAACGGTCTCTTAGTTCCATCTTCGACCACGGACACAGAATTACAACACATTAGAAACAGTCTGCCGGAGAACGTGAAATTACAACGCGTGGAGGAACGGCTTAGTGCCCTCGGTAACGTCATAGCCTGTAACGACTATGTAGCACTTGTACATCCTGACTTAGACAAAGACACAGAAGAAATATTAGCCGACACATTAAACGTTGAAGTATTCAGACAAACAATAGCGGGAAACGTACTTGTTGGTTCTTACACTGCGTTGAGCAACCGAGGAGGGCTGGTACACCCGAAGACAAATATACAGGACCAGGATGAACTCTCTTCGCTACTCCAAGTGCCCTTAGTTGCCGGAACAGTTAACAGAGGCAGTGATGTCGTAGCTGCTGGAATGGTGGTCAACGATTGGTGTGCATTCTGCGGACTGGACACAACATCAACTGAGATTTCTGTTATTGAGAGTGTTTTCAAATTAAATGATGCTAAACCGACTGCAATCACATCTACAATGAGAGCATCGCTCATTGACAGTATGTCATAACATTGAACTGTGAAATAAATCTTATGTTTAATAAATATTACATTATAAGTTCTGTGCTATTGTTTTGGATTACCAAAACTCAATTTGATTTACTTGTTTGTGAATACTGATAACACGATTTTGTACTTCTGTTGGACAGATTGCATAATGAGTACCAATGAGTCATTGACCTTGTTTAAAGATATTTAAAATAATAAATATTCATAAAAAAATGCTTTTTAGTAAAGTAGTTCTTCTGAATAATTATCATTTCATAGTTTATTATTAATGGCTTAGAGTTCTAGTACCTTGGCGCCTTGATACTACAACTCAGTAATAAATATAATATTTCTTTATTAATAATAATAAATATAATAATAGTAGTGTTAAAGAAAAAAAAACTAAAAATATTTGGTGCAGAAAGGGCTACTAGCTAAGGATACTACTTGCTCATCATTATATACTATGGCTCATAATCATCACAATTCATAATGAATGCCACACTGCATCTATTGCATGAATTACTATATTAATATCTAATCATTCTCAATCACCACCACTGTCTCTTAATCAATTGTAACCATTATTGGACTATGATTTCAGAGCAAAACAGTCACATTATGTATGTGTCAGTTGTATAGATATCACCATACTGTTTATTTTACTAGGAACCATGCACATTCTGAACTAAAGATGAGGGTAGGGCCTATAATTGACATTTGCCTTATGTCTCAAGGTACAAGAACTCTTTGTAATGTCTACGAGCGCCGATAACCAATCATGAGACAATTGACAATTGAAGAAAAATCTAAAGCTGCTGGATATTTGGTATAAGAACGACTTCATGCGCGCGCAGCACTAAATTTTTGAAATTTAATCAAGAAACATTTAAGTTTCTTAATTTTCTGCTTATCAAATTTGATGATAATACTTTAAATAAGATTTACAAACTCGGAAATAATAATGGAGATAACAAGCAAAATAGGTACTTAAATTATGAGCCCGTCACGATTGCTTGGGTGTGATTATATAAACCTATGAATTAATTTTGTTTTAGTGACGTATAGTGTACCACAGGTGACTGTGGTTTTATCAGATTTTTTGTAATATTAAATTTTGTAGATGAAAATATGTTCAAATAAAACCGCTAAATAATATACTATACCATTTATTTTTAATACAATACACTCTCATACCTATCTACATTTGCCACATTCGTTGCACTGGAAGTACATCATACAACGCATAAAAGAAAATTACGTATTCAAGAATTAACATTTCACTATCATATTAGGATAAAAGAGTAAAAGAAAAACCTGTGGAACCAAGATTTTTTTTTTCTTTATAGTCCCGAAGAGGTGTGATGTTTTATGTGACTTAAAAACAAAGTTAATTATCTAACAATAATAATAATAATTACAAGGATGTAATAACTTAATAAAGCGAACTAAAATCCCCTGAAAATTACTGAAATAATTTTCCTCTACAATTATCTCGAAATCAGTGTTTAATCTGCAGGTAACCTGTATCAACACATCAAAGAACAATTTAACAATTATTCTTATTCGATTGACGGAAGGAACGGCACGAATGTTGGTCAAAAGGTCGATTTTTTTCACATATCTTGGAATTTACGTTTTCTTTTCAACCAGTCACAAGAGATATGTAAAATGAAACACATTTTCACTACATAGGTATGCCGTTATAAAAAATCTTTGGTATTTAAACTAGCGGATTTTTAAATAGCCTCAATATTCACAGACGAATCAATAAAATTTTATTGGGTTACCTAGAGATTGAACTGTGTAACAATAAAATATAACATTATGTAACTAATTATGATAATAAATATCCAGAAATTTAGCCAGTATCGCTAAATTAAATATACATCAAATAAAAATGCAATTAAATTTTAAAACTTTAAAATGACCGGTAAAATTTTATACGTATATGTACTATAATAGGTCTGTATTTTTTCAGAGGCATTGCATTCTGAACTATACAATCCAGAGGGCTACCAGATTTTCAACAAAGTTCAAACTAAATTATTGTAGATCTTTAAAAAATCAACAAACTAATTTATACCATTAAAATAGTCCGCTGTTTTCTTTTGTTGTTTGGGTCCGGTTATATAATAATATACCACCAAATTATTTATTCTTAATATTTAAAACATAATTTTAATAATTTAATCCAGCTTACAATAGGATAATTTACCGCACACTTATAAACCTTAAACATGCTAATAAAATATGGCCGCTTGTAATAAACTTTTTTAAACAACAGAACAGCTCATTTAGGCACAAACATTACAAACTTTAGCCACGCTGTACACATAACAAATACGAGTATAATTAAACAACACAAATTGTATTCGGGTAGGAATATTATGTTTTAATAAATTAAGAATCAATAAATAAATTATATTATAGATGTCAATATTGTAAAATATGCTATGTGTCAAAGATTGCATTGTTTTAAGCTTCTTTTGCTTTCTTGATAAAGCCCACGCTGTGCGTCTTTTCCTTCGCTCTACGTTGTTGGTTTTGGTGCGTACAGAAATAAACTCGCTAAAACTTTCAGTATTCATGCTTAAATTGGTAAACGAATCAATAATTATTTAATATAGTTTAATCATTATTTATTAACTGCAAAATATAAAGAGTAACGATTATATTAAACAAAAATGTATTATTTTATATTTACTGAAATCTGCATGAGTTATTCAAGGAAATTTTAATTAAACGCCATCTTATACAATAAAGTCGTGATGTATTTACAATATAGTGCCGGAGACTTCCGAAGACGATACAATAACAACGGAAGGAATAGCAATAAAAAGAGTTGATTGCTGAGACTCCCGCACGTGGAGAGCTGGACTTCTGATAGCTCTTGGTGATCAGGGTCGTTGAGGTAGGTTCACATCACAAACCTACATTCAATGGTGGTTTGTTTCCTACCTACTAATTCGTATCAATCAATATGTTCAGTTTCTGAAAGCAAAAATGACAGCGAGCGACGTCCGCCATGACACCAATTCTCTTTCAAATCCAGCCGCCAAGAGAAACGATTAAATTTTATATTTTTCTTATATTAATTTGTCATATAAAGGTACAATAAATATCTCAAAACAATAAATACAGTCCACGCTTAATTACCACAACGAACATACGATTTTTGAAGAGATAAATCGCACGCAACGTTCATATAAGTATGTGCGCGTAGGTTTACAGCAAATTGTGTACTTATACTTTTAAGAAAAATACAATGTGTCAGTCATACATCCTTTACACACGATGTCCTTGTTGCATTACCTACATACTGTTGTGAGCACACAACTAGCCTCTCGCTCGCACTATTTGTGGAAGTTTGAAATTTCAACTTGCGATTTTTTAGATTAAGATTAGCATAAAGCCGACGGGTCAAACAAGCATTTGAGTTAAAATCTCATTTTATAATTCCTTTCTTTGTCACAACCACATTCATTATAATACTGTTAAGTATTTTTATTACATACTTCATTTTGAACCTAATTTCAAGAGTCACTGACATTTTGGTTGTTTTCTAATGATTATGAATATGCGAATGGCATATTCTCATTACAGAAACATCAGCTCGTGTCGGTTGACGTTTCTGAACAACACAAGAAAGGGTAATTTGAAATATAATTATTTTTGAAGACATTTGACTTTTGAAATAAGTTTCGACACACTTAATTGGCTTAAAGGTCTCGTTGCCAGGCCGTAATATCCAATTTTTTTTTACGACCCGCGTGCGTTCTAAAAAAAATGCAAACGTTACAATAGTATTGTTAAAGCATAAATTCAAATAAATTTGTAATCGATCTTAAAGTGAGATAATCTAACAAAAAGACATCGCATTTTTCCGACTACCCACAGTTGTAGGTCGCGCGGCAGCCGACGCTCAGAAGTGCTGAGTGTCCTGTCTCTCCCGCTCATAGAAGAGCATGTAGGCCGAGCAACGGAGCACCTCCTGCAGGGACACCTCGTGCACCAGCGTGTCCGACGTGTACCACCACCTGCACGCCAACACTGCCGCCTTCATACACCACTCACTCAACAAGAGGTAAGCGACGTTAGGGAGAAAGAGAAATAGCGCTACCTAATGTATCACTAAATACTGCCAATTGTAGTGTGTAAGCATTCAAGTATGTATACAGCCTTATTTAAAGTGCTTCTTCAGCACTACTGTCTTACTGTCTTGTAACTAAATCACCTTTTGACACAATAAACCGGACCTTCTAACTCAATGGACGTATTATTTACTCTCTCTAATCTATCGTGACCAGACCATACCACATGGCGACCTACCAGGATAGCTACTCTATAGCTACATGGTCCTTCTACAATATTTCTCAATCTTCAAAACTTTGGGATATTGATTGATTGACGAGCTCTGTGTGCTTAGTGCGAGTTTTTTAACGTTCTCCATAGTGTAAAAATTAGCTCATATTTTTATTGAATGGGATTGTTTGACTATTTTTGTCGCTAGGAGTGCTGTTCCAACTGCATACAAAATTGGGTTAACTTTTACGCTATCGAGAACGTTAAGAAACTCGCACTAAGCTCACTGTAAATGGGTCAATGAACTCACTAATGTTGTTACAATGATGAAGATTGAATGATTTTAATTCACTTGATGAATTTAAGGAATCGCGGCACTGAAAGTTGAAGATGAATCTTTTTTTTTATTGCTTAGATGCGTGGACGAGCTCACAGCCCACCTGCTGTTAAATGGTTACTGGAGCCCATAGACATCCACAAAGTAAATGCGCTACCCACCTTGAGATATAAGTTCTAAGATCTCAGTATAGTTACAACGGCTGCCCCACCCTTCAAACCGAAACGCATTACTGCTTCACGGCAGAAATAAGCAGGGAGGTGGTACCTACCCGCGCGGACTTACAAGAGGTCCTACCACCAGTAATGAGTGGCACGGCAAGTGGTAGAGCAAACGCACGTCATCCCGTCCGGGTTGGCACTAGACCTGGTTAAGGTGTTGCAAAGCAGACATGGGCGGTTTAAAAGGAAGTTGTCATTTTAATCCAAGTGTCACTGCTCGGAGAGGCCGTGTCACGAGACAGTACATATTTCAATAACAGACTATTCACCGTTTAGCTTCGAACCCGTTCCCCCTCCTGTAGGTGGCGAAGTGTCCGGAGCGCGCGCCCCCCACGTGCACCACCACGGCCACCAGCGTGTAGGGGGCGGCGTCCCCCCCGCGCGCGCCCGCCCCGCCCCCGCGCGCGTTCCACACGCTGAGGCCGCTGCGGAGGCGCCCTTCGCCCACCAGGGACATGAGCTCGTTCTGGAACATTACGCTGGATTTAAAATCCTGTCACATTTGAAGAAGACAATCAAACTAGTTTTTAAAACAGGGACGTTATGTTTTAGTGAATATCTATTACTAAGTTTTATATTAATGAGGCGTTTGAACGAATTTAATGTTTCAACATGCCGTATACATCCGGGAAAGCGTTCCACAAACGAATACTTTGAACGGTGAAGAAATGATCGTAAAACCTTGTCGAATACACTGGCATCATGAAAATACATTGCATGTTTTCCGATGATCTCAGGGATATGGTGTATCATGGATAAACTCAAAGCGTCTTTTGAGATAAGTAAGAGAAAAAGTCGTCGTGGCCTAAAGGATAAAACGTCCGGTGCATTCGTATATATGCGATGCAACAGTGTTCGAATCCCGCAGGTACCAATTTTTCTAATGAAATACGTACTTATCAATTGTTCACGATTGACTGCCACGGTAAAGGAATAACATCGTGTAATAAAAATCAAACCAGCAAAATTATAATTTGCGTAATTACTGGTGGTTGGACCTCTTGTGAGTCCGCATTGGTAGGTACCACCGCCCTGCCTATTTTTGCCGTGAAGCAGTAATGCATTTTGGTTTGTAGGGTAGGGCAGCCGTTGTAACTATACTGAGACCTTAGAACTTATATCTCAAGGTGTGTGGCGCATTTACGTTGTAGATGTCTATGGGTTCCAGTAACCACTTAACACCAGGTGGGCTGTGAGTTCGTCTACACATCCAGGCAATAAAAAAAAAAAGAAAAGGATTAAAGAGAACAGTATAGAGCAAAGAAAGAATATGAGCATTCCGGCGAAGGCGAATTGACAGTCACTTGAGCTTAGCGCGAAATTCTAAATATTAAGTGCATATACACACAATTTCAGTAAGTATTACTGTATTATTGTTGAGTAATGTACAGGAGCTGACCTTGGGCTGATGCAGGGTGGCGTAGGGCGCCATGGAGAGCGTCTCTGGGAAGGCGACGTGCTCGGCGCGCTTGCTGAGCCGTCCGCCAGCCCACTGCACGCGGGACACTTGCATGCACAGGCAAGGGGGCAACTGCCGCACAAAGCGATGCATTTATTATTTGCACACCATCGAGAGCACACATTTTTTTTCCCCTACCTAAGCTGAGAGCCTTGAGAGGCTATGTCAGTATAACCTTAACTATTAGGGGAGCTTACGGAGCTCAAACCTGATGAGGTGGCTAACACGAACCCTAGCAAGAGCCGTGCTTCGCAGAATCTACCACCGGATCGGAAACGCGACCCACTGAGAAGATCCGGCGAGAAACTCAGTGGGCTGTGTCTGCGTCATTCGATAAAACTAGGCTTTCCCTGGCGCACGGAGCGAGGGCAGGAAGGCAAACCGAATACTTCATCTATGCCTTCGATCAACAATAGTAACTAGATAAAGGGATACGTACAAAATTAAAGCAAAAACTGTCCGCGTGAATATATACTTATATAGCTACATTCGTTTACTAACAAACGGAGAAAAAAGTTTTGAAACACTTTTACGTTCAAACTAATAACAACTATGGCACCTAGTAATAAAGTCACAAATCTCTAAAATATTATCTAATACTTACGATCATTCGTCACATAAAACGAGCAAAGCAATAAATTACTCCTGTCACTTACCAATAAAAAGACATATTTTAAACAACTTTTAATGTTAAATCAATCTTAAGGTGCAACAAATAAAGTAACTTTTCCCTTAATTGCTCTGAGAACTAACATCGTTTTGCTTTATTTATTTTTGCTTCTTGAAATGCCGATTTCTATTTACTACAGGAGGTAAGGGAGTCGCGCTTAACACTAAAATAATTTATTAATGAATTAAAGTAAAAGTTTAGTTGTTTACTTTTTATGTTTTGGAAATGTATGTTTGTTAGTATCTATACATTACTTATTATTTTATTAGCGTTACGTTTTTGTGTAATATATATTTTTAAGTTTTCGCGACCAGTGCACATAATAAAACAACGTTTAAACGGTTTCAAGCGTGGTATTTTTATTACAATGTTTCGGCCACATTTCAGTAGCCGTGAGCACGGAAGGCAAAGATGTCCAGTGTCAATAAGCGGAGTTCTTAGCTGGCTTATAAAAGTCATCTCTTGTTTCTCTGGCGACAATCGAGATCCATTCTGCACACGTGATTGCTAGGAAAGCTAAAATAAAAATGGAAAGCTAAGTATCTAATGAGAGTCCAACAAACAGACACAAAAGCAGCATTAACCAATTTTAACCAACTAATTTTGAAGTGCTGCTAACAAATTTTAAAAAATTATTACAACACAAATCATTTCCATGCATTTACTGTTCTGTTAAGCAAAAGTTTGTCCATGAGTTGGCCGAGCCTTGGCCAACATTTGTAGCGGTGTTTAAAAATCGGTAATTTTGTTCAAAATTTAATATTATTTATAAGTTTAAAGCTTAAAATATAGTTTATACTTCATGTACTTACCGAAAGTAAGATACCCCGGCCGTTAAATTGCTTTTTCGGGCATTATTTTTGCAACTTTTGAATACACACTGCGGCATTGTGAGACGGGTTGACATTGGCTGTGTTTGAAGTGAACTAAACAAAATAACAGCTCACATTTCAAGTGAGCTGTTATTTGACGAGACGGATTTTATGCACCGACCCGATATCTAGTTACTATTGTTGATCGAAGATCTATGCTGATAATAGGGTTCTTTAAACCTATGAAGTTGCCATTGTACTATATTCGTTACGTAATGTATGTTGTTTATTTGTTGCCTTTGAAGGCAGACAGCATAAGACTCACTTGATGGTGAATGGTTACCGTCGCCCATGGACATCAGCAATGCCAGGGGCGGAGCTCTATTAATTAACTCTTAACTAGATATTTATGCTTTAGTTTATACAATATTGTTATATTTCGTTTAATTTAATAGAGTTGTAGTAGTGTGTCGAGCGACGGGTACCTTGCCGAAGCTGACCGTCCGGATGTGCTTGGTGTGTGCGGGGGTGGGGGCGGGGGCGGCGGGGGAGGAGGCCGAGCACTTCGCGCACTCCACGCCGTTCACCATCTCCGGGGCAGTGAACGCTCGGAGTAAACCTGCAGTAACGAATCATTATATAGTATCCGCTTACAGTATTGACTTTAGGTCACGTCAAAGTGAACGTACATATGTGCGAGGGGTTTGTTTAACCTACCTACGATTTCTTACAGTTCGCCTAGTATCATATTTTTATACTATTCATTACTGGATCGGCACAAACCTGCCAGACTGTAGGTCCCGCTGAGACCGGCGCCGGCGCTGTCCAGGGACAACGAGACGCTGTCGAATTTGTCGTAACGGATCGGACTCTGCAAGCACATCCAACAGAAACTAAAAATAAATCACAATTTTTTGTACTATGTAAAACCCAAATGACGTCATATGTTAGCAGCTCCCACCCGGAACATGCAAGTCATTGGTAAATCAGAACAGTAATAAGTAGAATGGTTTAGTTACGAAATTTTGTGAGGAAATTCAACGATTTTGATTTCTTGATTGAATGAATGAACGAAAAATTAGTGCCTGTCTGTGGGATCGGAACACCAGCTTAACTGCATCACTTGACATGAATGCACCGGCAGTTTTGTCCTACATGTCTACATGTCTGTATACCTTGGTGGAGCAGACCGTACAGTGCAGTCTGGAGGCGAGAGTCCCGCGGAAGGGGGGCGAGGGGGCAGGGCGCGCGGGGGCGGGGCACGCCCAGCGCCGCCCCACGGAGCTCAGCTGACAAAACGACCGGGACACACCCTTGCGGACCAGGGGACCAGGATTCGGCTCTGGGAACGATCACCCATATAGTATGTGTATATATGTACGTGCCACGTTTAAATTCTGCTGCAAATATTTCACTGTGATGAATGATGGTGCAAAGTACCCATACTCAGAGTGCAACTCTTCTTACAAAAGCCAAAATTTAAAGACAGCTCCATACAATCTTTTTTTCATTTTGACAAAAACACTCACTTCGACTCACTCAATCGTCTATCAAATACGCGTCGCCTAAACAAATACAGCTACATTCACAAGCTTCTATTAACAAATGCTGCTTTCTTCACGTTGAGTTCGAAATATTTGAGACCCTCAGTCTAGTACAAGAAACTACAATATATTGTCAATCATACATAACATTGACCTGACCTTTCAAATAAGAAAGAAAATTACCTTCTGAATTTGCTTCAGACCGTTGAAGTTAGCTTAGGTTAGAAGTACTATTTACTACAACCCTCAATTTATAGGCCTTGCGTCAAACTGTTAGAATAATTTAGAATGGTGATGTTGAATTGCACTGCATAATCACAACAAATCTAAAATATTGTGTTTGGACATGACAGCCAGTACCAAAATATTATTTACCCGGATCAGCTAAGTCAGGTTCATCCCCGGGAGCTGCTGATGCAGGACGAGTTAATAGTGATGGAGTGGCAGGGGCTGCCGGTGGTGACGCAGGCGAAGCTAGAGCTGACCACGCACGGCCTCCTCCCAAACCTAGGGCGTCCGATAAACAACCTGGCTGTTTGAGAAGAAATTATACATTCTAATGACATTTTGATGGATTTCAAGTAGTAAATAGTATGAGTGCAGATTGCATTTTGATTCTAATCACTAAATAAGATGGTTCTTATTGTTGTAAACACAATCAAAATACCTTTCTAGCCATAGCTGCTGTTTCTTCCTCTATACAAGTAAGCAGTACATGGAGCAACTCATGTGCATCCTGCTGGTCAGCTGGCACCACCCAGCCAGCTGCCCTGAGAGACTGCAGTACTCCAAGTGGACAGACTGGAGTGCCTCGTGCTGATTCGTGAGTTCCATTTACAACTGTAAACCCAGAAGATCTTATATAATTCTGCCTGGACATCAATCTGAAACTGTAGATATGGGGTTGAAATTTATACTATTGGAACTGCTGCATCATATGTCCTTAGCATCAGAATCTTCAATTTCAGTCTACCTTTAAAAATGGTGGGAGGGTGTGTCAAGTTGATTTATACTACTTATTATTAATACTAAGCAATTATACATTTCAGTTTGACTGGTAACAGATAACCGATTTTCACATGCAATTGGAATTTCAACTAAAAATGAGCAGCAGAAAAACAGCAGTAAGGCATGTAGGTACTGGTCCACCTACCCTATTTCAGTGTGATATCCTTTACAGTCATAAAAAATTGTAATAAAGAAACAACCAAATTTGTAAAAAATAAATCCTAAGTTTAACTTTATTACTTTTATTGGTGGATTGCATTTTATTATTATTGGTTTGGTCTTGATTGTATCTTTTGTCTACAAATTTTAATAAAATTATTTGATGCTGTATGTATAGCAGTTTGCACAGTGAAGACAATTTTTATTTCATCTTATTTTAATTTTCATTTCACTGTATCTTGCTGTTGGAATAAGTAACAAAACTCAAGTGTGTATTTGTAATGAAAAGTTACCTAACATTTAAACAACTAGTAAACTCTCTTGTAACAATACAAAGTGATTTGAATAACAAAACAAACAGAGCAAATAAAAGCATCAATGTTGCCTTAAAACTTGGTGAATAGCTCATTAACCTGTTACATTATTTTGTGTGTTTGTTGTTTATATTGTATGCTAGTTTACATTTGAATGAATAAAACTGTACCTTCAATAACAGTGTACAGAGTCGTAATCATACTGTTGTGAGAATTGGCTTTGGCATATCTCTTCAACCATTCAATGAAGGTGGGGCACGCTGCAAGGGCCTGGAGCAATGTATTCAGAAAACAGGTCCTGCCCATGTTCTGTAGACCTGCAATCTGTCCACGACGCTTCCGAACCTTCGGAGCACCTCCCGGTCCCCATAATACGAAAGCTCCAACGACAACAGCAGCTGTAAGGCCCGCAGCGACTAAGATCCTGTCTCCACCATCCATTTTCAAGGGCTGAATAGAGCTGCCTTAGTTCCTCTGTTTTTTACATAATAATGATGAATTAAATAATGATGGTGCTATTAAATTTATGTTGAAACTTTTAAAATATGTCCTAAATCGCAAGTACTTTTTGAAAAAATAAAATTTACGACTTTAATTTTATTGCTTTGATTGAGACTTGACATTGACAAATGATAGGTTGATTTATTGACACCTCAGACAAAACAGTGAGCTTGATTGAACCAGATTGAGTTGATCGTTTTAAAATCTTACTTTAGAATATTTACTTAGTATAGAAAATCGAATATTTTAATTTAATCACGTAAAATTTAATATAATTTTGGAGATTGGGACTATTTATAGCTATTTACACGGGTAGACGCAAAGAGTATAAACCCTGTTAGACATCATCATCCTTATCCCATTCCTCCCGTGTAACACACTTGTATTTGAAGGTCCTTGGTAAAGTGCAATTAATTAAAGTCCTCCACTGTAGCCATGATCTGATAAACCATGAATAAAAAAATTAGGTAAGAAAATAAACTCCACAACAAAAAAATTCAATTTAAATTTAAAAGAAATGTTTTTAATATTACTAATATCAGGAAAACCTTTATGAAAAGTAAAGCACGTTAGCATTTTTCAAATTTCAACGTCTCAAGCTCAAACCATTTGCCAATTCATAATGTTTTAACTTTTAAAGTACCGTAATTGATTTTTAACATTAAACCTATTCAGTCCTATCCATAGATAATACTAACATCGTAAACTATCAGCATTTTGACAAGCTGAAGAAGTCATCATGCAGTCATCAATCAAATCTCATTAAAAATGAAAATCCTAAAATTATAACCGTGAAAATAATTATAAGATCAATTCACAAACACAGAGAACAAAACTGATATGTGTATTTGTGATAAATCGGAAAATAAGTATCGTAATCTAAGCATTAAATTAATGTAAATTTGAATATAAATACAAATAACGTAATGTAAACAAAAATAATGCACATTAGTAGTATCTCAATAAAAAATCAAATACTAAAATCTATGCACTATGATTCCATCTAATACAATTTGCGTATCAGAAGAGGGTCCAGCTAATGCTTTAGCGCTAAATAAAGATGCAACACAAGTCGTAATAGCCGGAAGAAATGGTAAACAAACAAAAACAAAACAATTATTTTAGTTTTTCTTTGAAATACGTGCCAGTCTTTTTTTTCCAGTGTTCAAGGTTTTTTCGATTGAAGAAAATGATTTCACGGAAGTGTGTAATTTGAGAGTAGGAAAGAATTTAAATCTCAACTTTTCGTCCATTGATGTGGCCTGGAGTACAATTGAAGGTAATGGTTTTTGATATAGCGTATATGGCGTAAAATCTCCACTCGAACCGATAAGGTCTAAACATCTATTATATAGAGGATGATGTTACAGTTCAAACCAGAATGAATGTTTGCTTAATTGTAGAAAAATGCAAGATAGTTGTACCTATCTGATCAGACTTACAATGTGTTCTAACTCCAGTAAATGATTGTTGACTATTTCAAGATCCTGTTATAATACTCTAGAGGATACCCATTCTTAAAATGAATCCCATAGTTGCCTTTTTTGACAGCCACAGGATAAAATGAGGTGATGGGTTCACCTGTAAGCAAACACCACACTGTCAGAAACATTCACATTTATCAGTCAAATACATCTAAAATACCATAACTTTATATATTTTTAAAATATGTATGTATAAATAAGTATAGTGTACTTAGTACAAATTTTAAATGTACTCTTATTTGGATTAGATAATATTTTAAATTCCTCCTAATACATTGCTGTAACCATAATTTAAACACTAAATTATTTTAGAGAACACACTAGCAACAGCAGCTACAAATGGTGCTGTGGTAGTATGGAATCTTGGGAGGTCGGGTCGCTCAAAACAGGAACATGTATTCTCAGATCATAAAAGAACAGTCAATAAGGTAAGGTCAATAGATAATACTTTAAATATATTATCCTCTAATTCAGTGGCTCTCGTATGCTGTGACATGAAACATTGGTGAGATTTAAAAATACAATATTTTTAACTAAGGCAACCCTTTTGTAGGCAGCGGCTTGGCTCTGCCCCTGGCATTTCTGACATCCATGAATGGCGGTAACCACTCACCATGAGGTGGCCGTCTGCCTACAAGGGTAGTAAAACAAAGGGTTGCACTATAGTTTACATATAGGATAAATATACAACTGTGTTAACTGTATGTTTATTAGATTACTGGTGTATAATTTATGAAATGTACTTAGGTCTACCTTCACTTCAACTAGAAAAAAATTGCATGTAAGCACATAATGATAGATGTATGTAAGATATGAATTTATAGACTATTTCATTCTGTCTTTGAGTAAAAAGGTTAAGAACTGCTGCTCCAATTGAGCTACATTTGAAGTACAAAGTTCTGCATTGTTTACTAAAGGAAAATCTACTAATCCAGAAACTGATTATTTTAATCAAGATGACATGATTTATATATTTTTTATTTTATAAAACAATGACACCACGTTAACTGGTCCCGTGATAAGTTCGTAAAGAACTTGTGTTACAGGTACCAGATAACGGAAATAAATGTTAGATTTTTATTATATTTATCATACAAATATCTTCCCTTGGTGGGATTCGAACCCGCGACCCCTGTATGTAGTGACCATGTCACTTACCACTACATCAGACGGCCGTTAATACATATATAATAATTTAAAATCTTGATGATCTTTGTACTTGTATGAATACTGTTAGGATAACTAATTTATTCTGCTATCATACAGGTGAGTTTCCACCTTACTGAGCCAGCACTGCTTATATCTGGCTCTCAGGATGGGATGATGAAATGTTTTGATCTTCGAATGAAGGAAGTTGCTAGAACTTTTATAAGGTATTTAAGGATAGTGGAAGAATTAATATTTTATATCATTAATTTGAGAAAATCATTAATTAATAAAGACACAACAAATTTACACTGTTCAAACTGTACCTGTCATTTGGCCCTGTATTAGCTGAGTAAAATTAATTGGTAATTTAATAAAAATGTTAATTTTAAATTGGTAATTTTAAAAATCATCTGATGTGAAATTCTTAATTTAGAAATAAATAAAGTAAAATGTAGTAAGTAAAATGTAAAAGAAAAATGTTTTGAGTTCAAATAAATTATTAATTAGACATTTTGAATCTCAGCAACACGGAATCAATCCGGGACGTCCAGTTCAGTCCCCACCAGGCCCACACATTCGCGGCCGTCTCCGAGAACGGCAACGTCCAGCTGTGGGACGTGAGGCGCCACGAGCGATGTCTCCAGCAGTTCACCGCTCACTCGGGCCCGGTGTTCGCGTGCGACTGGCACTCGGAGATGCCTTGGCTTGCCACGGCCTCCAGAGACAAGACAATTAAAGTGAGACTGATGCTTTGTAATCGTTATGAGCCCAAAAGGGTTAGAGAGAGAGAGAGAGAGAGTATTCTTTATTGTACACCAAGAAACAAATAAACAATGCGATACATTAAATACAAAAAATTACAATTGGCGGTCTTATCGCTAAAAGCGATCTCTTCCAGACAACCATCAGGTGGACAAGAATCATTTGGAAGCGAACTACACGCGGTGTGCCAATCCAGTGAAATACATATATGTACACATACATACACATACATACATACATATATACATATATATATCCATAAATATACATACAATTGTACATGTATTGTACATTGTGTATTTAATTATTATTATTAAAAATGGGTTAATTCCATTGAAGGCTATTTCTAACGCAAACCAGTTTGTAGGTAAGGGTAATAATGTAGGGTACTAACAACAACTCTAGGATGTCGTGACATTTAAAAGCAGTTGAGACTCCGATTGTATTTCTTAAGGCGGTAATAGCTTAACAGCATGCGGGCCGTGAACACGTCTGATAATTCACGCCAATAATAATAATTAGTATTAGGAATTGCAGAGATGATTTATAACTGGTGACGTCACGCCAGACGCCCTTATCTAACGACCTAGTATTTTATCAGCATTAAAACGTGCAAACGTTGTGATTGTAACATACAAGTGTGGCCTGTTGGTCGCGGTCCTGTATGTACGATCTAAATTTACATTTTAATGTTCTGGCTGTGAACTAAGGAGATCACTGGATAATGAGAAGCATTCTCTGAGTATTCTGCCGGCACTCTACGACTACTATATATATAAACTATAACACAATAAGCCCACTGAGTTTCTCGCCGGTGGTAGATTCTGCGAAGCACTGCTCTTGCCAGGGCCAGTGTTAGCAACACTCCGGTTTGAGCCCCGTGCGCTCACCTACATGTAGGGTGAAGCTGAAATAGCCTCTCAAGGCTATCAGCATAGGTAGAAAAATAAAATTAAAAAAACGAACTCATGGCGTTCCTACGACGTCACCACTTCAAAAACAATAAACAGATGCTTTAGGCGTTTTTGAAAATAGTTCGCTAGCCTGCGTACGGGTCTTAAAGCGCAAATAAGAGCCTCATTTCCACTTATTTAAATCTTGAAATTATAAGCAATCTTAAATACAATTAATAGGCAGCGGCTTGGCTCTGCCCCTGGCATTGCTGAAGTCCATGGGCGACGGTAACCACTCACCATCAGGTGGGCCGTATGCTCGTCTGCCTACAAGGACAATAAAAATAATAATAATAATAAATAAGCAGACACACCTAACAACACAGACCACGGTTGCATTTAAACTACCGCTTCCCAGACGTAGATAGAACCCTAATATTAACACCTTAACGTCTAATGTACCGTTTTCGGCAGGTAAAAATGAACCTTAAAACATTTGCTATAACTTCATTTTCTTTGTCTCGATATGTGAGACGATTTAAAGTCAGCGTTAATAACCCTGATAGGTATAGAATTGATTATGAATAGCTGTTAATGATTACGTCTGAATTTCATCTCAATGATCCGGATGAGACGCATACTTGTCCATTTAAGTTGTTAATATGGCCTAGCGACTTGACAAGGCTCTGCTTAACGTCGTGTGGGTAGTGAGATGGCTGCCCGTCCTATCTAATAAAAATGCGGAATAAAGTGTAGCTCTTACAAAAGCTAACCGTTGGATCGGCAGTGGAGTTCGGAACATGCGGCACACACATATCATTGAAGTTTCAATTGTATTTGAAATATAACAACTATCTCAAAACCCAGTCACTCGCGGGAGGGGCCTAGAAAGAACGTTGGACTCGACCTGCTTCGAATGTTATATTAAAATATAATTTGTCTGGTTATATTAAAATTAATTACGTTTACTTTAACCGTGTAGTGTTTTTAGGTATGGGACATTCACGCCAAGCCCAACCTAGAGCACACTATATACACGATAGCGTCCGTCGGCCACGTCAAGTGGAGACCGCAGAAAAAGTTAGTATACGCTACGTTTACTGATTAAAGGCTTCGCCAAACAGAACGCGTACTTAGCGCTGCGTTTTAACGTCGCGCTCTTTTATGTCACACCAATTGACTAGATGAGCCCAACGTTCTTTGACGCAACGTAACATCCGCCAAATCATAGTGCCTTTCGATAGCAGAGTGAGAATTTAAAAGTATTAAGTAGTCGAGTGATTCAGTTGTGGAAGAATTGTTACACTGGCGCTATGTTTGGCAGTATATTACCATAGTAGTACACAACATCTCGGCGTCATAGCGCGCCGTCAGTTTAGCGTTCTAACGCGCGTTAAGTACGCGTTCTGTTTGACGAAGCCTTTAGACCAATACGAGCTGGTCTCTGGTCGTCCCTGCTCACGCGGCAAGTGCACGTGCAGGTACCAGGTCGCGTCGTGCGCGCTGGTGCTGGACTGCGCCGTGCACGTGTGGGACGTGAGGAGGCCGCACGTGCCGCTCGCCACCTTCGCCGAGCACCGGGACGTGACCACGGCCATCGCCTGGCAGAACGACCCCAACACCTTCCTGTCCACCAGCAGGGTGAGCCTGCACAGTTCTTGCCAATATGCGCGTCTCGCATTCTCGCTCTGTATCTGATCTGTGAGTGCTCCGCACCTGTATGCTGGTTCTGGATTCCAGCGGATACCAGCCTTCGCTAGCGTTCTAATTAAGGTTTAGTTAATGACGGCATATACGGGTAGATCACGAGCTCCGAACCCAAATAATAAAGTATATAGGTATTGGTAAAAAAGGGTTCTGTTTTTTGTGTGCTTAATCAGTGAGTCACTTTTGTTTCCAATGTCCTACTTAACCGAGTAAATAGATATTGTGTCGATTAACTTTACGGACTATTGCTAATGTATGGCCGTTAAGAATCTTAGTCGATATTCTAATATAAAATAACTGGTGCTGGTCGAAAAAGAGTTAATTTTGCTGTCATTAATATTAGGTAGATTTTCCATCGAGTACTGCGCTTTAATAGATACGCCGATGGCATTTCGAATATCGGCGTTGCGCAGTAATATTAATCGAGCGTTCGTATTAAACACAGATAATTTATAATTTTTGTGGGGGGGGATCATCTGTGGTACGAAATGAACGTGGCGTGCCTGCAGGACTGCAGCTTGTACCGGCACCGCTTCTCGGAGGCGGCGCACCCCGTGCTGTGGGCCAACCCGCACGGCGTGTGCGTGTCCGCGCGCGGTGACGTCACGCACGCCGCCCCCGACTGCCCCCTGCCCGCGCTGCACACCAACCCCGCCTCCGACCGATACGTACCTGGGCTCGGGTATGACACACCCCCGCACCGCACCTCATATACTTACTTTATTTATTTTAGTTAAGTTAACGTAAACGCAGTCCGGGCTGTTGGCAATGTCAATTGACACGTTACACATTTACAGAGTGTTTGACCATTCTCGGCTTTAAAAGCCATTAAACTGGCACTACGGCGCTAACGTGAACCACTATTCGTTTACTTTTTTTTAATCGATTTGTGTGTGGACATCCCGCGATAATTAATACTAAAATCCGTCAACAGCTATTATGCCAAAAAAAGGGAACGTTTGTTGACAAACAGAAGTATCAATGGTGTAAACTGTTTTATCATTGTCTATTAATGTACACATTAATTAGACGTTATTGAGGTGAATATATTTAAACCCCTCAGCCGAAAGCAGCCGACCGCAGGCTCGCTGCGTCCGCAGGCTCAGGCCGCACTGGAGCGCCTGTTTCCCGGGGGCGCCGCCTCCGTCCTCACCAGGTACTCGGGCGAGGGTCGACCCCCGTGCTGCGTGGTGGCCTGCGCCAAGGAGTACAAGATGAGAGGCCTCCCCACACACGAGCTCGCCGAGCACAACGCCAAGGTCGCCAGAGCCTACAACCGGCACATGGTGCGTACCCACTCCCCGGGACTGTGGCGACACTGTAGCGGCGCTGTTACCGCGCGCGGGACTGGCTCTTCCAGGTGGGGCACGTGTGGGAGGTGGTGCGCTGCGTGTACGGCCGGCCGCCGCCCCGGGAGCCCCCAGAGCGCGAGCCTCCGCCCCCGCCGCCCGCACACACCAACAGGTACGCGGCCCGCCACGTACACTGAGCGAGCGGTACCATTCGTACAAAGCATTGGTTTACGAGTTTAAATATGTTTGTCCAGTAACGCAGTGGAAGAGGAGCCCTTAGAGGAAGTGGAGCAGTGGGCGGAGACGCAGTTCCACAACAGCGGGGTGCTCGGCATGCCCACGCTCAGCATCTACATCCCGCCGCACAAGTACAAGATACGCCACGACGGTACTAGCCTGTGACTGCATCCGTTTGTCACGACAATTAAACTTCGTCACCTGCGACCCGGCCGTGCAGACAACCGCGGGAAACCTCTTGAAGGCAATAAAACAAACCAATGCTTACCACCGGTCCTTACGTACATACCTACTATACGGGTAAAATTTCAATAAAGTTATTCCGTTGTCGAAGCAGTCGCTTGCACATTGAAGCTACACAGAAACATTGGTAGCAGTCGAGGAGTGATCCGCGCCATAATTATGATTTTATTTCGGCACTGTCGGGGTTGTGTCTCAATATACACGTCCGATATGTTATTGTTGGCTCGATGAAACTATTCTTCACACTTGATTTAACTGAACTGTAGCAACTGGTGCATGTGGTCCAGAGGGGTCGGGCTGGGTGTCGGCGGCCAGCGCGCACTACGTGGATGTGGAGACGGCCGACTGGACCCTCCCTGAGGAGGCCTTCCCTCTGCGCGCCCCTCCGCCGGCCCACCAGCCCTCCATACTCGACACGACGCACGGTAGGTCGCGCACAGACACACAGACACGCGTGACGTCACTTCCGCTATAACTGGTTCGTGGTTGAAGGTCGCGCGGCTGCGGGCGGGGCGTCCCCCGGAGGCAGCTCGTCCCCGGGGAGCGGCTCGAGCGGCTCCAACGGCTCGGCGTGCACCGCTCCACCGAACTTGGAGCAGACCTCCAGCGCGTACCCCGGCGCCGCCACGGTGAGCTGCGGGCGGTAGCCGCCTACAACTATCCGATACGAAATAGGAGCGGTCGTACTACCGAATGCTATTCACAGGATAACACTACCATCGTGATCAATACCAAAATCTACTTTAACGAAGAGTTTAGAATTACGCTAAGTAATATGAAGTCATTTAAAATCAGATGACACGTAGAGACAATGACCTCGCGTGCTCATCGGCGACCCCGACGGTTGTGATGGAAAAATCAATCTTAAGTCTTTTAATTAGGTCTACCTTTTATTTTTTAAGGTTCGTAGGTAGATATTTGTCATGACTATATTCTATATATTGACAATGCCAATTTTACTGGTGGTAGGACCTCTTGTGAGTCCGCACGGGTAGGTACCACCACCCTGCCTATTTCTGCCGTGAAGCAGTAATGCGTTTTCGCTTGAAGGGTGGAGCCGTCGTTGTAACTATACTTGAGACCTTAGAACTTATATCTCAGTGGGTGGCGCATTTACGTTGTAGATGTCTATGGGCTCCAGTAACCACTTAACACCAGGCTGTGAGCTCATCCAACCATCTAAGCAATAAAAATAAAAAAAGATTAGCAAGTTAATCGTTAAACTCCACGTAGACTCCTTGCGTCCTGAGGTCGACGAGATCAAAGTGTTTAATAACATTGCACAGTTGTGTCGCGCACAGCCGGAGGAGGGAGAGTCTGGTCCCCTGTGGGTGGTGCACGAGGCGCTGCGCCCCCACGTGGAGCCGGCGCCGCTGCTGGCGCTGGCGCTGCGCCACCACGCCGACCTCGGCGACGTGCAGACCGCCGCGCTCGTCATGATCGTGCTGCACGAGCACAGGTACCGCCGCGCCGCCGCACTACTGCACTACCTCCTCCGGCAGACCTGGTGCGATGATGGTGGACTCTGTTGCAGGAGCGACTTGTTCCCGTACATAGACGAGGGTCTGCAGGAGCACTGGCTGCTGGGCTACATCGAGTTCTTACAGAAACACAAACTGTGGAATGTCGCCACTGAGGTACCAGTCAATGTATTACTTAGTCTGGCCATAAATACTACTAGAATTAAAAATAAACAAAATATTACACATTGAGTTTTAACAATTAAACAATTAAAACAATTAAACAATTTAACAATTAAAACATTGAGTTTTCTCATTTTGGCGCCAATACATTGTACAATATTTTGCGATATTAAAATAGAATGGGGTGATAAGAGAACCGAATCGCTGTGATTGCATTACACAAAGTAGGTATGGAGCCAAATGCAATTTTTAAAACTCTCCATACGCTTGGTATTAGTAAAATGTTTGTGTACCGGGCTATTAATAGGTGCAATGAGACCTCCTCTGCTTGTGACAGAAAAATATCTGGCCGTCCACGTAGTGTTCGTACGAAAAAGGCGGTCAAAGCAGTAAGGGAAAGAACTCGTAAGAAATCCTGTCCGAAAGCAAAAGATTTTATCTCGGGAGATGAAGATAGCACCTAGAACCATGTCGCGTATTTTAAAAGATGACTTAGGACTAGCAGCCTATAAGAGACGTACTGGTCATTTCTTAACTGATAATTTAAAAGAGAATAGGGTGGTAAAATCGAAACAACTACTGAAACGGTACGCAAAGGGAGGTCATAGAAAAATTATGTTTACGGATGAGAATTTTTTTACAATTGAGCAATTAACAAACAAAATGACCTTATTTATGCTCAAAGCTCTAAGGAAGCTTCCCAATTAGTCGACAGAGTGCAACGTGGGCACTATCCGACTTCAGTGATGGTTTGGTGGGGTATTCGCTATGAAAGAGTGACTGGGCCATACTTTTGTGAAAAAGGTATCAAAACATCGGCACAAGTGTATCAAGATACCATTCTTGAGATGGCAGTGAAGCCCCTTAACAACACCATGTTCAATAATCAAAAATGGTCCTTCCAGCAAGACTCGGCGCCAGGTCATAAAGCTCGGTCTACGCAGTCTTGGTTGGAAACGAACGTTTCGGACTTCATCAGAGCTGAAGACTGGCCGTCATCTAGTCCCGATCTTAATCCGCTCGATTATGATTTATGGTCAGTTTTAGAGAGTACGGCTTGCTCTAAACGCCATGATAATTTGGAGTCCCTAAAACAATCCGTACGATTGACAATGAAAAATTTTCCCATGGAAAGAGTGCGTGCTTCTATTGATAACTGGCCTCAACGTTTAAAGGACTGTATTGCAGCCAATGGAGACCACTTCGAATAAGATGTTTAAACTTTAAATTGTTTTATATTTATGTATTAAACTAACACACTTTAAAAGTAATAAATGTTATTTGCAATAAATTTATTTTTATTTTTAATTGTAACAGTATTTATGGCCAGACTAAGTATATACTATACAACTCTAATAATAAACAGGCGATATATTTAGCTTTCCCATTCGGCTTCTCGACCGAGTCGTTAAAGTAAAGTTTAAAACATAAATTAATAATTGTGTCTTACAAAAGACTACAAAAAGGAGATTGCCCATTCTTGGTTTCGTGTTGTGCTACGATCAAATATATATTAAAAATTAAGTTTTTATTTTTAACAATATCTTCAAAAATATTAAGTTATAACTTCGCCGGGTATAGAAGATTAAAATAATTAGTAATTTAAAAACTTCTAACCTAGTAGTAGTTCAATTTTCCGAATGAAAAGGCAAAGATGTTATATCATACAGCCTAATCTTTAAAAAAATATGATACTATGGAGTGAAATGAAATGAAATGAGATGAGATGATATGGGATGAAATCATATAGTAATACTCAGTAATATTGTGGTTATTTGCTGAGACTTTTTCAGTAGACTTTTTGGAGGATGCCAAGAAGTTATGCCCAGCCAGCGGCTTTGTTTCATTTTCTACTTCGTTACTAAACAGTTAATGAACCACCGCTATTACACATTTCAACCTAAAGAAATATTAAATAGACAATTAAAACAATTCACACAGCTTCGCTCCTCGCGTTCCCGCCAAAAAAGTCTATCAAATGTCAATCTCAAACCTCAGTGTTGACAGTCACAATATGTTTAGATTTCTAAATTGTAAATGACTAATATTTTGCCAATTGAATTGACTAATTTAGTTTCATCCCAATTGATGAATGTTCCAAATTCTTTTCATTTCATTTCACATCGTATTAACATTTTTCACAAAAAATATATAAAATATTAGGCTGTATGGTATGATACTCTTGCCTTTCCAGTTGGAAAAATACAAGTTCTACTACTACTACTGATATTTGACAAGTAGGTGCTTAATTCAATAATATTTTGATTTACCTACTTACCTACTGGCGTCGTTTCTCATGTTTCCGATTGAGTTATGTATCGTGTTTCGTTCGGTCATATTATTCATTATTTTGTTAGACAGAAGTCCAAGCATATTGGGGGCAGAATTAATTTATTTACCATACATACTTATTAATTAATCGTGATGAAAACGTTGCTAATACTATTAATTCAATCTTTAATTAATACTACAGCTATCTCGTTGGCAATTTAACTGTGGGTTGTTGTGTCCATGTTAGGCTGGGCTGAGCTAGGTATAATGATACATCTGCATAATATGAGAAATAAATTATTTTATGTCTATTTTTGTTTTATTTTGAATTGCCGTAATAGTACCACCTTTACTTAACGAATGGACGCAGTGGCCCTAGCCACACAATACTATGCTAGGTAAATAAGTTTATACTATAAACATGTTTTCATTAAAAAAATACCTTATACGTATGTTGTTAAGTATGTAGGCACTCAGCATAATAAAAAAATATCCACTGCTATCTTGTACAAAAAATAACCTAATTCTATAAACTTCATTGGTCTTTTACTAGCAAATCCGGCGAACTAGAGATAATTTTTTTTTTTATAAATTAATAAACATATTAAACCCTACAAATGAGGTAAGTTACATGAGAGCACAACTTGAAACCAAATTCCATACTGCAATGGGCATTCTCCTTTGAAATGATTTATAGCATGTGTTAAATCCGTTATACGTCCGCACCCAACAGCGACACTGCGGGGGTGCTAACTGTTCATCGTACGATTTATGATCTTTGTGTAGTTACGGGCAATAGTGATGTTGCGTAACACTACCTAGTCTCGTATCTCGAGAGTCGTACAAAGACAGCTGTCCAAGTGATACGACATTGCAGGTGGTGCGGTGCGCCTGGCTGAGCAGTGTGTGGTCGTTGTCCCAGCAGTCCAGCAGCGTCACGGTGTGCTGCGGGCGCTGCGGCCGGCGCGCGCGGCCCCGGGCCATGTGCGACCGCTGCCTGCCCCACCCCGACCTGTGCGCCGTGTGCCGACAGGTAACACTGTCCCCTCGACTCGAGCCCCGTGCTGATAGGTAACACTGTCCCCCCGACTCGAGCCCCGTGCTGACAGGTAACACTGTCCCCCCGACCCGAGCCCCTCTACTCCAACTGTAATTCGACCACCGTGGTGCGGCAGGTGGTGCGCGGGCTGTACGCGTGGTGCCAGGGCTGCTCGCACGGCGGCCACCTGGAGCACATGCGCCAGTGGATGGAGAAGCACCAGCTCTGTCCCGCCGGCTGCGGACATCACTGTCAACTAGGCTGAAATACGCCTTACAGAAAATGTTACTCTACAAAGTTTCTTCCATCATTGTATATCTTAGTTATACATCTTTTATAAAAAGAACATTTTGATAAGAGATTNACAGCTGTCCAAGTGATACGACATTGCAGGTGGTGCGGTGCGCCTGGCTGAGCAGCGTGTGGTCGTTGTCCCAGCAGTCCAGCAGCGTCACGGTGTGCTGCGGGCGCTGCGGGCGGCGCGCGCGGCCCCGGGCCATGTGCGACCGCTGCCTGCCCCACCCCGACCTGTGCGCCGTGTGCCGACAGGTAACACTGTCCCCTCGACTCGAGCCCCGTGCTGATAGGTAACACTGTCCCCGCGGCTCGAGCCCCGTGCTGACAGGTAACACTGTCCCCCCGCCTCGAGCCCCGTGCTGACAGGTAACGCTGTCCCCCCGACTCGAGCCCCGTGCTGACAGGTAACACTGTCCCCCCGGCTCGAGCCCCGTGCTGACAGGTAACACTGTCCCCCCGGCTCGAGCCCCGTGCTGACAGGTAACACTGTCCCCCCGACCCGAGCCCCTCTACTCCAACTGTAATTCGACTCCCGTGGTGCGGCAGGTGGTCCGCGGGCTGTACGCGTGGTGCCAGGGCTGCTCGCACGGCGGCCACCTGGAGCACATGCGCCAGTGGATGGAAAAGCACCAGCTCTGTCCCGCCGGCTGCGGACATCACTGTCAACTAGGCTGAAATACGCCTTACAGAAAATGTTACTCTACAAAGTTTCTTCCATCATTGTATATCTTAGTTATACATCTTTTATAAAAAGAACATTTTGATAAGAGATTTATTTTGTGTAAAGTAAATACTCCTTTGTAATATTTTTTATTTACATTTAAGCATAGTTTCTGTTAGAATAAAATCTTAAAAATATGTGTTCATTAAATGTAACCAATCTATTGCGACCAGCAACCTAAACTAGTCCTCGTCTACATTTGTATACATGTGTGCGATCTCACTGGGCGCGAGACCTCTTGTGAGTCCGCGCGGGTAGGTACCACCACCCTGCCTATTTCTGCCGTGAAGCAGTAATGCGTTTCGGTTTGAAGGGCGATACAGCCGTTGTAACTATACTTGAGACCTTAGAACTTGGTGGGTGGCGCATATACGTTGTAGATGTCTATGGGCTCCAGCAACCACTTAACACCAGGTGGGCTGTGAGCTCGTTCACCCATCTAAGCAATAAAAAAAAAGAGCCGTTCCCGCCGCCACCGCGTGTGGCTTCACGAGCTACTACGGGTTCCTCCTGGAGCGTTACTCTAAGCGAGCGATGACGTGCACGCTGAGACATACACCCTCCCCCTGCGACCTCCTCTTTCAAGACGAGCTCACGGTCCCCCTGGTGTTAAGTGGTTACCGGAGCCCATAGACTTCAATAACAAAAAATGAGCACTACCGAAATTGAGACAAGAGTTCTTCAGTCTCAGTTTTATCAGTACAATTATTACAGTACGCACGTAATTACTGCTAACAACATGTGATTGTTTGTCTGTAGTGTATGCAGTACGGCCATCCCTTGTTTAAATAGACTAAAGTTATCTAACTTAAGGCTTCCATTTTAAATTACTATATCGGGTGGCCACCGCACTGATATATGAGTCGACTATTATCAAAGCCGGCAATGTGACTTTTGGACAATTATTGGTAAATCAGAAAAACGAATTATTGACTTTGTATTCCATTGGCAGTCACAAAACTCTTCTGAACGACATCTTAAGATAAATAACAGGTTAAGTATTAACCTTTGTTTAATGCAGGTTTTGAACCGTATTCTTTGAAGGAGACGATTATATTCAAATCAATCTGTATTGACATATCAATAACATTTTTTTGTCCAAATGCACAGATTGCCACCTTTGATAATAGACGACTCATATCTTACAATAATACAATATTATATTGCATAATGAAATAGCTTCTAGTGTCGCGCCGCTGCTCATTATAATATTAATGTAGACATACTCTCGATCAACTCGTGCTAAATAAAATTACATTTTAAATTTTATGGAAATTTATTAATATATTTACAGATTGTACAGATGCTATGTTTTTGTATTGAATATATTTTGTGAACAAATAATAAAGAAAACAACGCAACGTATGTAATCATGGTTTTATTTAATAAGTATTCTTATTTACAAACTGTGTTTTGAGTGTATCATTGACAACAAGCTGACCACAGTGATATCTTCATCGGCGGTCATAGTATTAGGCTGTTCAGATTTATGGGAGGTCAGATAGTTAATGTTAGTAGTGGAGGTGCTCGGTGACTTAGTACCGGCCTCCACAGACCCCGCCACTCGCCTCCCCCGGCCGACCCCGGGCGGGCCGCGGGAGGCGAGTCGTGACGTCTGCGCAGTGGCTGGAAATTACTTCCTTTATAAGTTAAACTAAGATATAGAACAGCACGACGGTTTGCATCTACCCGCGTCGTCGGGGGCGGGGTCCTCCTCGGCTGCGAGACCCCTCTTCACTCGTGACATCTGTCGGATAAGGGTCAGGAACGCCTGTCAAGTAATGGCGAGTCAGTTGTCGGACCGGTCAGGTTATAATCGAATTACATGCAGTTAATTTACATTGGAAACTCTTTGTTGACAACCATAAACAAGCAGATAAGCTAAACTTAGCTACAGGGCGTAACGCTCATGTATACAGCTCGAGAAGAACACAGCGAAACGTGTCTAATTTTACTCTTTAGATTGAGAAAACCCTTTTCACCGGAAGGTTGTAACGTCGACTGTACTGTATATAAATGCTCAGTAGCAGCAGACAACAAAAGGTATGTCTATACAAGTTCTACAGGTACAATGTCTACAGGTAATGTACCAAAACTGGCGGTACTGGAATCGGTTCAGCAGAAGAACTGAAAAAATGACTAGTCTGGGCCAATATGCATCGGCCGACATTGTAGGGAAATATAATAATGAAACGGTCGTACGTCCTCACGGCAACTATCCTCAGGACACCGGTGGCTTAACTGATAAATGACTGCATATTAGCGCTGAAGTGCCTGTGGGACTTAGTTAAGTGGGTCGACACAATACGTGACCTTAGTTCTTAAAAGACATTTTAATTTTAAGCAACCCCCGCACAACAATTGGATTAGCAGTAAAGTCTTGACAAAAATGTATTTTCATCCAAATATAATAACAGACTTACTCTTTAAACTCTAAACTTAAAAAGAAACTCACTAAATATAATCAATGGCACTGCATTCGATTGTCACGCGTCATCTAATCTACTTTAGTTAAATGTCTACTTGCCAATTTTATTCTACAACACATTACTTAATTAATTAAAAAAATGTTCAAAATCATTTATTTCAACTAGGTATGTTAATGACGGAACACTTCAAATTAATGCTGTTAACACTATTTTGGCAGTAGGTCAGTAACGGTGATTGCTTACCGTCGGGGTAGCCGCATGCGGATGAGAATCGAGATAGGTAGCTGAGTTGGGCAAATGGAAAAGTAGCAAAAATTTGCCTTTTTTTTATTGCCCTTGTAGACAGACGAGCACACCGCCCACCTGATGGTGAGTGGTTACTGTCGCCCATGGATTTCAGCAATGCCAGGGGCAGAGCCAAGCCGCTGCCTACCGCTTAATACTCTCCACAAGCCTCGTTTGAAGAAGGACATGTCATAGCGCTCGGGAAACACCGTGGAGGGGAGCTCATTCCATAGTCGGATGGTACGTGGCAAAAAAGATCTCTGGAAACGCACTGTGGATGACCGCAGTGGCTCCAGGTAGTATGGATGAACTCTACTCCAGTGGCGGACGGTGCGATGGTAAAAACGAGATGCCGTTATCATCTCGAACAATTCCTCAGAGGCTTCGGTAAAATAATCCGGTCTGAACCGTGTAGGAGACTTCAATGAGGATATTCCCGGCCACTGAGGGTCTAGTCAAAAACTTAATTCAGGACGGAATGGAGCAACGTCTCGGGTTAAGGTATACCAAGGATTTTGTGTGAAATTACTATAGACCTTTACTTGAGTTTCTCACGAGCGTTTCGATACCTGAGAATTCCTACATTATATAAACCTGGCTGGAGACGGAACCTGCGGATTGTACATAGAGGCGACGAATGGAGGACAAAGGATTAATTATCACAAAACGTTTTAAGGGTAAACTATCGAGCAATTTGCCTTTCAAAATGTTTTTTAGATAAAATAACATTTAAAAGTATAATCACTGTCCTCATTGAACAGAGTATAGCTCATGGTGTATCCGCCGATAAAGAGGAGTGGAGGATCCTCTTTACCATGGGCAATGTAATCATATAAATCTTGCGTCTTCACAGAATCCAATAATCAACAAACATGTTTAAAAATTTTCTCTATAAAACCATGTCACGCCAAAAAGCATAAGCACATTGAAAAAAGCAGAACATTTTCGAACAAAAATAGGCAAAAACGCAGGCAGTACTTACCAATAGTGATACCAAATTATCCCACACTTATTTAGACCAAAGGCAAACAGATAACATGCAACAGTCACCTTTTTATATAAATTTTAAATTTATTTGTTTAAGCCCCAAGTAACAAATAACAAAGAAACTCTTATGAAATACCGGATTATATCAATGTTTTTTTTGTTGCAAGATTGTTTAAGCAATTTTTATGGTCCAAATTTTGCGTTGTGTTATCCATTTCTCAATTCATTGTTGTGGCTTCGAACACTAAAGTATTGCGTATGTAGCCAATCGTCATGAAAACTAAGCACGTTGTCACTCACATTGTTTGTGTATTACCGTATGCCTTGAATATACTGGATAGGAATAATAGAATAGAACTGTGATGGGATGAGACACTTCTGTTCGAAAACATCGTTTCTCTCTCTTTCTCTCTCGCTCACTCTCAAGCAACACAAGGGATACCACTCACTATTCATCCCTCTGTCAATTCATTACAATTATTGTACAATTTGTACATCACTTTTTTTGAAAATCCAAAAGCGAAGTAGTTAATGCTTCCTGTTTGTGTTTATAATGTTTAAAATGTGTTTATACTCATGGGTTTCGTCATTTTAAGTTTAATTATTAATTGACAATAACTTTTCAAATTTCATTCACAAAACATCAATCCTTAAACATTAAATAAACGCTAAATGCACAGAGAAACAACACATATATTGCAAATCCTTATATTTCCTTGCATATAATATCGTTTATATCAATCTCGGTGAGAGTTATACATACACTTAAACATATGCATGTGAATATAAAAAATATGAGTTTGTCTTGCAGAGGAGCGCCGACTTCGACGAGGCCGTCTCCACTGACATTAACTTAAACACATATAATATGTCAGTAACAGCGAACCGTGAGCACCTGTGAACACCGCTAGCGTAAGGGGACTATCAGACTTAATGCAGCTAATGTAATACGTATGATTTATAGCTTTAATGTATCCGAACTTATGAGAAATGCAAGATCGACCCACGAAAAGCTTCCGAAAACCGAAATTTGGCAGTTGTGGGATGTACAGTGTGGCCCACGGTTCCTACCGTACGACGTTTGAAATGCTATAATATACTGCAATGCATTACAATAAACAGGATCCAGGAACATTCGAGATCTAAATGAAATGGTCCAGTGACGTCACAGAGTGTTGTGCTCTATGAAGTCCGTGGACAGTTGGCGTCTCCCATTCGACCAGTTAATGGAAGAGTGTCCGTTCAATCGGTCGGCTCTCTGAACGTGAACTACGTTGTCTCTTCATTTATTCATCTATATCCCATAAAACAAACCTCCCATCGACAAAAAAATCAGTATTTTTTTATTTTTATTTAAATGAAGCATCTGTTATTTTTTTTGTACAGAATGTTGACTTGTCGACAATATGTCTACTAAACCACTTTTTCATCTTGGACTTGATGTAACTTTTTGAACGGACACACCTCAACATCATATTTCAATATTATTTATTACTCTCAGTAAAAGTTACTCTCCGTACAAATATTGGAGGGTAGAAGTTAGAAACGCCATCTTGTAAAAGTGTACACCTGTAAACAGCAAATTATTGTTGGAAGACTGAACTAAATAGTGCTAGTGTAGGAAATGGAAAAGATATGAATATCGCAGTTTTAAACAGAGTCGAGTGTGCTGGGTGGAAGTGAAGTGTGATGGTGCTGTTTTTAAAATCTTTCCACTTGCTGTAGCAAGGTGGCGCCACCTTCATTGGCTTCCTTTCAGCGAACACTAGTTAATACACTGTGATGGTGCTTCCTTACTTCTATTCAACATACGTACAAAACAGAATTCATTTCACTTTTGACTATGCAAAAAGACTACGTAGTAGGTACTCATAATTTCATTGACATTCGCAATTAGCTAGCAACATTCTAAAATGGATGCTTTTGAAAACATCGATCGACGTAGCAAAATCACTAAATATAGGCCCTCAATTTGATAAACGTAAATTCGACAGGCCGCAACGCGTGCGTACTCGTGAGCACGTAACTTACATATCACTTTCTGAACAGAGAAAATAGTGGTACGTGCCAATTTTCGGGACAGCCGCTTTAGAGCACGCGCGGTGACATCGGCACGAGAGCTTAACACATTCAAATGACGTTTTAATGATAATTATTATAATTTATTGTGACTTTGTTCCTGTAAGTAATATAATAAAATTCGATAAACAAAAACGACATTTAAACATTTATTTTCGAATGTGCTGAAATTCAAAATTATGATTACGCTTGCAGGAATTTCACATTATTTAGTACACGGCCGCGCCCCCCGCTGGCCCGCCCCCGGATCCCACGCTGGGGTGAGCAGTGTCGGACCCGGGGGGACAGTGACGTCACACGCGAATACTAAAAAATGTCTATACTAATAAAATATCTGCAAGCCCAATCACTTTTAACGTTTAATCTTTAACTTAATAAAACTAGAACTTAAAGTAAGATTGTAGACACTAGAAGACGTACTGATAATAATAGTGCTTACATAGGTACATTTATTGTTTTCAGCAAACAAATTAAATAATCTTAATACTAATTAAGAATTTTTGAGTTTCCGAAATAAATAACACGAAAAATCGATTTATTTTAATCGATACAAAACATGCAAGCACAAGCTTAGACTTTAACAAGAATATTTAATAGAAAATAAAAAAATAAAAACGTTTTGTCGAATACTTACTGATCGAATGGCATCTTCATCCTTTTATTTTAAACATAATGCAGAGATACCCTAACTTTAGGGTAAAAACAAATATATACCGCAATGTACGGCATTGGGAGTATGGGATCGTAGAAAAAAGCCAGTTTTGAACATATTCAAATAAAGTTCCAAAAGGTGCCGCTTTTCATAATTCACTTAAGACGCCATCATGATGCGTGAGTATTCAACAAAACGCCAGCACCACACACACCGGACATTGTTACACCTACACTTCTTGCATATACAGACAACATTCTAACCTCAAAACACGTGTTCAGTTTTCTTTCTTACTTTTCCCGTCCTATTCCATTAGCTTACAAGACTGATCGGCGGAGCCTATTGTCGAGGACAGACCAGATAACAATTCAGACGCAACCGTGTCATTGACAATGTAAATACACTGGCAACAGACTGTCAGAACTACTTACATATCGAGGGGTGAAAGGATATTTGGTTTAAGCGACATTTCACTTAACACGCGACATTTATCTTTGTAATTAAAGTCTGTTTTATTTGGCACTAGCGACCCGCCCTCGCTTCACTTCGGAAACATTACATTTTATTATTGATAGCTGAGTTCCATGATATTACCAGCGGTTATTGTCGTACCGCGGGTGACGCCGCGGGGCTAAGCTAGTCTAAAAAACCCTTATATCATCAGCTCCTTACGTTACTCCTTATATCATCAGCTACCTATCAGTGAAAGTTGCGTCAAAATCGGTCCAGCCGTTCCAGAGATTAGCCGGAACAAACAGACAGACAGACAAATAGACAAAAATTGTATAAAATGTTATTCGGTGTATTTTGTGTACCGTACATATATTCATATTTTATGCATGTAGTAAAAAGTGGTTATTTCAATATTACAAACAGACACTCCAATTTTATTTATATGTATAGATTAGTATCAACAACTCGATGTTTTTAATTGATCTCCACTTAAGTTTACCACATTCAAATTCATGGCTGAAGAAGTTTTTTGTTATGTGATATTTTTTCCAAATTTAAAAATTTAAATGTTTCTCCTGTAAAGTTGCAAAAATGTATCTTAAACCAAATAGCGTTTCAACTTTCACCCCTCGATACATTGTTTAGACGTAGGCATCACTCAACTGCTTTATATCGACGGACGTCATTGTCATATTTTACAAAAATACCGTCCAAACAAGATCTGGACGATATGATACATTACATCGTCGCGATTGATAAGATTACAGATAATAATTTAGTTTCGATCTCATATAGATTACGGATTGTGTTATTAAGTACTCGATTAAAAATGAATTAGACATTTACAAGAAATATGATAAGTGATAAATAATTTTCTTTTAGGCATTCTTAAAGGCAACTTTTCTTTCAATGTATCTATAGAATAACATTTCTAGCTGGTCACTTGTCGCGGTCACCCTACCTGTGGGTGACAGGTATACCTCGCAATACGGAATGAAATAAAAATATTGAAACCAAAAAATACCATATTACAAAAAAACACATTTAAATAGAGCATTTTCAGTTTTCTCAATCGATTGCAACTAGTAATTCTGCTATTGTAATCATTCTGTAGACACAGTATTCCCAGGAATACAGTCTAAGCTCCGTGTTTTGTCTAATGTACAGTGTATACTTATTACGGGTTTATGATCTGTATGTATGTATGTAAAGGCTAGCTTTTGCTCGCGACTCCGTCCGCGTGGAATAGTCACTTTGGCATAACGCTACATTTTACTCCCCACTTTATTTACGTAGAAAGTGAAAATATTTTTGAATTATAGCATGTTAAGGAGCTATTTAAACCCCTATTTTGAAACGTTATTTATTGGTGCTCCACTTGTATTGGTCTTACCGTGATGTTATATAGCCTATAGCAGCGGTGGGGGAACTTTTTTAATTATTACCCCAAAATATTTTTGTGTAAGTTGATATTACTCCATGGCGAAGAACAAAAAAAAACGAAATCACTTCTTTTTAGTATCTTTCATATTATAGCCCCCATGATAATTTTGAAAAGATAACAATAACTAAAAATTTAACGATTCTAAAGAAGTTTCACTTCAATATATACTTGTTACTAACAAAACTTTCATTTTTACCCCCCAAATTTTCATTTTACCCCATTTGGGGTAATATATCCCGGTTCCCCGACCGCTGGCCTATATAGCCTTCCTCAATAAATGGGCTATCAAACACTGAAAGAATTTTTCAAATCGGACGGAGATTAGCGCGTTCAAACAAACAAACTCTTCAGCTTTATAATATTAGTATAGATTTACAGGAAAGCCTCTAAATGATGAGAAACAAAACTGAACGCGTGTAGTGAAGCGGCAACACGAGCCTGGCACAAGCGCGTACAGACCCGGACGTTCCCGTTGCGTGAAAGTCGAATTTGTGACTTTAACAAACTTCTAGAACTTCCGTTTTTTTTTCACGGAGCACGGTCGATTAAGAATTATTTATTTTTAAGAATAAATTAGCGTTAATTTCTACTTCTTTATAATAATAATAATAATAATATTGCTGAATAATCAAAATTCAATGATTTGTATTTCGCTTTAACCAAAGGGCTAGAATATTGATGAGCAGTTGATTATATCGTTAATACAATTATTATCGAAACATGTTAATAAGAAAGATACGCATAGATTTTAATCAGCGCCCAGGGAGGCCGAAGTTGATCGTTATTCGCACGTTCGCAAGTCACAAAATCGTCTATCATCAAGCCCATTATACATCAAGGAAGTCTACAATATGACACATTTGAATTTCTTGCTCTTTTTCCCCTTCCCTCCCTCGCCGTTGGTCGCGCGGCTGTCGTCAGACTTCCGCGAGCGGATCTCCCTCATCAGGTCGAAGAACACCTGCGCGGACACCACCGTCAGCACACGAGACAACACACACCCGCCACCAGGACCATATCATTTTGTTCACAAAGAAATCAAGAATGGCGCATAAACCTTAATACGCGTTTATATCTTACTTTTTTTTTTATTGCTTAGGTGGGTGGACGAGCTCACAGCCCACCTGGTGTTCAATGGTTACTGGAGCCCATAGACATCTACAACGTAAATGCGCCCCCCACCTTGAGATATAAGTTGTAAGATCTCAGTATAGTTACAACGGCTGCCCTACCCTTCAAACCGAAACGCATAGCTGCCTCACGGTAGAAATAGGCAGGGCGGTGGTACCTACCCGCGCGGACTCATAAGAGGTCCTACCACCAGTTTATATGTTACTGTCAATTTTATTTTTAAAAAAATCGATTGACTGCAATAAATTTGAGTGTAAAGGTAATAAAATTTTGAATTAAAGGAGGCAATTAAATCTGTTTATTTAAATACGCGTGCACACGCAGCGCGCACGTCCTAGGGTTGCGCTCCACGAAATGTTTCAATATTTATGTTTATTGTGGTAACAATTTGTAGAAATAAAAAACAGAGCGAGCAACGCGCCTCGACATTTCAGCAAAGCCAAGCGGAGCCACGCGCTCTGTGAAGCTCAACTTAAAACGAACAGTAACAAAAGCTGGTGCAAAGCTCAGGCTTGGCTTTGGTGGAAATGTAAAAGTGTCGATTCGAAAGAACACTACCGACACCCGACTAGTGACACGTTCCAATCGACTATTAAAAATTATATACCAAAATATTTTGTAATAACGAGTGAGGCTTATTGTTTTGAGATACATTTTGTCAGATTTATATATTTCATATTATATATTTATTATATAAGATAGGCTATATAAGCCATATTCGAGCGCACGAGCGCCAAATCGACGGATAGGAGTCAAAGTGGTCATGGCCGAAATCGGTCGGATGAATCATATTTCAAAGTATTTCATTTAATTAATTAGTAAGTATACGCTGTTGCTGCTTGTACAACGTCATTTCAACGTCTGTATGTCAAAGGATCTCCGATGAGCAGCCCTGAGCTCGTCGGCAAGTGTACAACAATGAGACAAACTTTGCCTTAGGAGCCGGACAGACGAGAACATCTCATCCTTAATAGATCTGACGCGACGTAATGCCTAACATTTGAAAGTTGACAAAATATCTCCAAAAAACAATTAGCCTTCGTATAATTAGGTACTGTACCGGATTGTGGAGATTGAGGTGCTGGTAACGACAGAACTAGTCTAGGGCACCTGTGAGTACTCACCTTAAGTCAACTTTGAATAATCCTCAAAACTATGCGTCAGTAGCGTCAGTAGCGGCAGTGGAGCGTGTTGGGGTCCGCGCGGGGCAGTACCCCCGTCCTATTCGAAGCAGTCAAGTGTTCCGTTTCCGAGCCAGCCCGCATAGTGGGTGTCGGACGTCACTTCTATCTATCTATCTCTATCTATCTCTCTCTCTCTCTCTCTCNTTTATCACAATAATTTTCATGACGACAGGCGGATATTAAATATCTTTCACATAATTAATTAATTACAATTGCCTATTTATATTTCTGTAATACACTCTAATCGTAAAGTCGATATAAATAATTAATCGATATATCTTATCGTACGGGACAACCCTAATCCTAGATTAAATGCTTATCAGTCGTTCACCGCTTAATACCTTTTGTATTAACGTTGATTCGTTTTGATTATTTCCATAGAATGCGGTTGTGCTCTTGTTTAATACCACAACTTGTTATTAAGAATAAATAATTGAGCCAAGCACACCTAATACTCCCATAATCACATGAAGCACGAAATAAAGATCAAACTGTTTAATTCAAATCTATTCTCAGTAACAGAAAACCCTGTTTCTATTCTTCCTAGTTATTCTTCCTAACTAAAACAATTAAAAGGCTTACCTGAACATAAATCCCAATCCATTCAATATTCTGAGTTGTCTGGAAGCCTGCAGAACATCAACTAACATAATTCCAACTAGATAATTTTGAGAAGAAATGATTACCTTATCAAGGGTATCCTTGACCTGTGGCCTATTCCTCAACGCGGGTTCTGCTGGACTTATAAAGACTCTAAGTACTAGAGCTTAAGGAAGAAGTTACCTTATCGACATTGTCCCTAGTTTTCGCCGAGGTCTCGACGTAGGGCACCTGCCAGTTGTGCGCCCTCTCCCTGCAGGTCTCGAGCGGCACCCGGCGCTTGTCCGCGAGGTCCGACTTGTTCCCGACCAGCAGGAACGGAATGTTGTCATCGTTTTTAACACGAAGGATCTGCTCTCTGTAAAGAAGTGGCAGTATGGTATCTTACTCCTGCCAAAATTCAACTCCCGCAGCCGTAAAGAAAATCACGCCGCTTTTATAGATATTAAAACGATCTTTAGTTCGCAATCACGAGTATAGATCTTCATAGTCAGTTTTTTTTAGTGAAATTCAATTTGTAATGAAAATGAATTCTGGAAGCGAATGATCAATTCTTACATTACCTGAACTCCTGTGTGGCATCGAAGCTCTCAGGCTCAGTGATGGAGAAAACGCAAAGGAAGCCCTCGCCGGATCTAAAGTAGTTGTCCCTGATGGCGGCATAGTCCTCCTGGCCCGCTGTGTCCAGGATATCGATCTGGACTTCCTCTCCATCCAGGACAACCTGGACATTACATAAAATGAATGCGTACGTTATGGCTGACCTGAAGGTGAATGTGCGTTATGCTCAATTACAGCATAGATATGACAAGTCTACTCCTTTCCTAATGCAGTTAAAAAACTATCTTTCTATAATTTTGGTGAAGACGGATCGTAACGTAAAGTCAGAACAATGTATCCTCTTATTTACTGGTGGTAGGGCCTCTTGTGAGTCCGCGCGGGTAAGTACCACCACCTTGCCTATTTCTGCCGCGAAGCAGTAATGCGTTTCGGTTCGAAGGGTAGGGAAGGGTAGGAGAACTTATATCTCAAGATGGGTGGCGGTATTTACATCGTAGATGTCTATGGGCTCCAGTGAACACTTAGCACCAGGTGGGCTGTGAGATCGTCCACCCATCTAAACAATAAAAAAAACTTCTTACCTTCTTCCTGTAACTATCGGCTTTGGTGGGCTCGTAGTCTTCAACGAATTCATCGTACATAAACTGCAGGGTGAGGGCGGACTTGCCGACCCCCCCCGAGCCCACCATGATCACCTTATGCAGCGTCGGCTGCGCGGCCGGCTTCTTCGACATGCCGACACGACGCTCCACACACGGACACTGCAACAACGAGTCATTCGACGACATTACAATCTTAAATTTACTTTGGATAACTATTACTGGTGGTGGTGGGGGTGGTATACTTATTACTGGTGGTAGGACCTCATGTGAGTCCGCACGGGTAAGTACCACCGCCCCGCCTATTTCTGCCGTAAAGCAGTCGTTTCGACTTAAAGGGTGGGGCAACCGTTGTAACTATACTGAGACCTTAGAACTTATATCTCAAGGTGAGTGTCGCATTTGCGTTGTAAATGTCTATGGGCTGCAGTAACCACTTAACACCAGGTGGGCTGTGAGCTCGTCTACCCATCTAAGCAATAAAAAAAAGATAAATCTCATAAGGCATGCAGTATGAGGCGCTTGGAATTTAAGTGCGCGAAGTACCCTGAGTTCCCCCTTCCCGCGTCGAAATAGAGATCAAAGATTCATGTTGGACGTGACGTGCGTGACGGTGTTGCGTATTTCGCACAAATTCAAGCATACGAAATGTCTTATTCACATTTTACTGGGGGTGCGGCTTATTGTAAGCCCACACGGGTGAGTATCACAGTCCTGCCTGTTTCTGCCACAACGTAAGCACACCTTCCGGTTTCAGTGACGGAACAGGCATTATTCTCTTTTTGAGATTTAAAGGCTCTTGTTGCCACATCTTACAAAACGGGCTGTAACTTAATATCTACAGCTTAAAAAATGATAGAGTTCGTTTCAAACTCTATGTGTGCGCAGTCTGTATCCACATTAAATGTCTCATATTAACAAAAAATTTCAAAGTTTTTCTACGAGTCATCTCAGTCTCTGTATAAACACAAGCACATCAAATACCTTCAATATACGGCGATCAAACTTATTTGAAACATCCGCTCAAGAAAATCATAAATGTGTAAATACTTCTAAAACAATTTAGATTCATAATCTAGGTCCACTGAACATAGCGTGTAGGCTGGTTGTAGGGTGACCGTGTTTTAATCACTAAATAGTATAAAACAAAGTCGCTTTCTCTGTCCCTATATCCCTATGTATGCTTAAATCTTTAAAACTACGCAACGGATTTTGATGCGGTTTTTTAATAGATAGAGTGATTGAAGAGGAAGGTTTATATGTCATGTAAAATAACATCCATTACATAGTGGAGAAATCAATAATAAATTACAGTTTCCGAAGCGAAGCGATGGCGGGTCGCTAGTTGCAAATAAAATAAAGGAGTTTATGAACAACACAGAAATTGTAGTGGTCTAAAGAATATGAGCCGAGGACAGGCAGGAATGGCGCAAGATGATGCAGAAGAAAGTGATTAGAGGAGGCCACGACCCTCAGCACTGAGGATTATCGACGCAAGGAGGAGGAGGAAAGGATATGATGCCTGAAGACCGACGAAAACAAAATATTAGCATATTTCCTATATTTTTTTAGGGGGAATGTCGCTCATTTTGTGGCTTGGGTCGCAATCAGAAACGCTTGAAGCGCAACCGACCCGTTTCTATGGTCCAAAAAATATATCATAAAAATACTAAATAGCATAGTGTCACTTCTTAAAATGTATATTATGAAAACGACAGAGCAAAGACAACTCTTGAAGGAATTTTAATTTAGCGGACACGTGTGGGAGATGTGCTCACAGTCGCAGTTAGATCCCATGACGTAACCACGTTATGGAAGTGATATCTTCAATGAATAGAGAAGGATAATTGTTAACTGTTATTTTGATGGAAATCAGAGAGTTATCAAAGTGCGTTTATAAATTTTAGCTCTCGTTAACACATTTATCCATATCAAATGATCTTGGGTTATTATTAGCGTAAATGCGTAGGCGCGCTGACCGCCTGCTTAATGTTAAGAGCACCGCAGCCTACTGGGACCAAGCCGTCAATAAAATATCGTAATATAAAAAAAAAACAGGGATCCACCAAATATTAGCGAGCAGCATTATCCGAATATTATATCGAGGGTAGGCATTTAATAAATTTTGCAGGTACGCACTAATAACCAGCTGGCCGTAGGTAATCTCATCTATAAAATATAATAAAGCTACGTGACATATTACTCAACAGAGCACACGCAATACGACCCATAAATTCTCCAATTTCATTGTTTTGTAAACAGCATCGCATGCTGACGTAACACAGTACATACTAGCCTACTAAAAATATTAGCAAATATAATTCAACGCGTGAAATTCGATATTATTTGCAACGTAAACTTTGACGTTACGTTATTATGAAATGTATAAAAACATATTTTATTTCAGATATCACGAACACAAATAACAGTCGAACGATTAAGAGTGCTTGAAATTGCGTTGTGATGTGCAAATTTTCAGTTTAGAGACATATAATCTTGAATTTTGATGTCAAGGAGCGTATAGCCACATCCTGAATGGTACCGTCCACCGTGACACATGGTGCTGAAGTCTCAAGTCTCAATTGTAGAATACAGCATAAATATAAAAGTCCATCTTCTCCATCTACCCTTATAAAAAGACGTCAAATGCCCTAATAGGTATGTAGCGAGCGCAGACTTAGAGTTCCGATCGTTAATCAAATTTCACTGGTGACTGGCATTCAATAAAATCATCCTTATAATTTCCGTTTACCTATAAAATCCTTATCCCATCAGACAAAACAACAATATACTCATACATAAACTGCTAAAATTTCAAGGTGGACGAAAGCAAACTCCTGTCTGTCCAGCACGTGCAATGAATACACAAGATGCTGACATAGTGACTGATTTTGATTACAAAGCGGTCAATACGAGCGATTAGCTGAGAAACGTGACTGGGAATAATAAATCCTTCGTATCAAATGTTATTCTTTTTTCGTCATTGAACTTTTGAATTATAGGCCGGTAGTTGATATACTCTATATTATTTAATATTATAAAGAGGAAAGATATGTTTGTTTGTTTGTATTGAATAGGCTCCGAAACTACTGAACCGATTTGAAAAATTATTTCACTGTTTGGAAACTACACTATTCCCGAGTGACATAGGCTATAATCTTTTTTGAAAAAAATTAGGGATCCTTACTAAAACTCCAATAATGTAACCCAAGGTGTGAAAAAATTACCTAAAATATTATTTACATCGCGTGCCCTGGGAAAACTATTGATGATAGAATAAAGTAACGTACTACGACTTTGTAGAACACATTATTATTCACAAAAAGTGTCGCGTAGTTATGCCGCAATAAGTGTTCTTTTAATTAAAAAGATAAAATAAAGTCAAATATCGTTGAAATTTTTGTTAAAGACCCGAGCGGAGCCGGAGCGGGCAGTTTGCTAATTATAAAGTGTTAACATATCGCAACATAAACCGCGATGTACAATCCACCGTCAGGAAAAGATCGTAAAATGCTTCAAAGAAAGTGCGAACCGCGCTCATGCGTTCAGATTTCAAAGATAGGATAGCCCCCCTTACATAAGCGACTTCTAGCTCTTGGCTTCAAGTGGATGGAAATATTCACGTTATTGAATGTATGGGCGATATCAACCTTTTAACACTAAACAGGACTTGCTACGGGTGTACATTAAGAGAAAAGAAATAAGAACTCAAAATATAGTACATAGCGACCCGCCCCCGCTTCGCTTCGGGAACATTGATTATGAAAATAGGACGCCAGATTTTTTTCCTACTTACTTTTTTTTTTTTTTTTTTTTTTTTNGTTCTTGTGTGTTCCCCATTGCGGGAGCAATTGTTGCAGGATGGCCGAATGTAACGGACGTGACGTCAGCTGTCATGCCCTGCCGCCAGCCAAGCCGCCAAGCCATATTAACACGCCCCCTTCCGCCACAGCCACCGCCACCGCCGCCAGCCAAAGCCAACGAAGGGGGGATAGTGTTAATAAAACAAGCCGTGCCAGCCATTTCTAACGACTTTTCTGCATTCTTGCACAAATAAAAGAACTTGTCGTTACGCTGCTGGTTTTTATTGTCACATCATTTGCAACAAGTGTTTACACAAAATACAGACAACACGCCTTTGTATTCTGCAAAGCGTTATATCGAAATGTTTAACATAAATATTTTTATCAAACAATCATTCTATACGTTTTATCGGCGAAAAATAAAAGATAATACCTGTGTGGAAATAACTTATCAATGTTAGTTATTTAAATAACGCATGTAAAGCTATGCATATGCTATATGCATGAAGGTTCACGTTGATCATGTTGATGGTCAGGCGGTATCCCATCGATTCTATTAAGACATTTATTTTTTTATTGCTTAGATGGTTGGACGAGCTCACATCCCACCTGGTGTTAAGTGATTACTGGAGCCCATAGACATCACAACGCAAATGCGCCGCCCACCCTGAGATGTAAGTTCTAAGGTCTCAAGTAAAGTTACAACGGCTGCCCCACCCTTCAAACCGAAACGCATTACTGCTTCACGGCAGAAATAGGCAGGGTGATGGTTCCTAACCGCGCGGACTCACAAGAGGTCCTACCACCAGTAAAGAAATCGCAGTTTCCAAAGTCTGCGCCCGCAAAATGGGGGTACCTACTCATTAGTGCCAATGATTTCAGCCTGTTCACACAATGTATTTAGAATTGTTATGAGCATGCTATCCTATTAGAACGATGGTTTTTCTGGCTGCGTTAGTTCATAAAACAGTTTAGGAAGGCATTTTGAAGAACTTTAACACTGTCAAATTATGTCATTATACGGTTCTTTTTTAGGTGTGAAAATTTTCACGATTAAAAATGATTGCGTCGTGAAATTAAATACATAAATGTAACTCGAAGAAATCTGATAAGTATGCTAACGTTTGTTCCATGAGATATTTCGATCTCTGTACACTATCATGTCCTTATTGAAATAAAGTTTAAGGAAAATACTTTGTGGTTAGTAGTAATCATGTTGTCGAAGTCCAGGGGTCCTATGGTAATTTAAATAATGTTGTTCAATAGGTACATAATAATAATAATAATAATATTTTTTATTCAAGCCTCTTAAAATACACACACGTACAAGAATTCTTAACACTAGTATAATAATATACAT